ACGGCGGACAATTTTGCGCGCGACCCTGAGGAGCAGCTTCTCCCGCCCGGTCTCTCTCGTCGCGCTCAACTTCCGCGAGTACCTTACGACGATGTGAAAAAACGACACGGACGCGCGAACACAATCCCCCCAAAAAAACCGATCACTCTGCCCCCCCTTCCTCCTCCACCCCTCAGCTCCCTGAATGGTCACGAACATGCAGGGTCAAATGTGACGATGCACAATGTCTTTTTCTTGTTTCTTGCGAGTCGGCCGAAACGCGAAACCCCGGCTAAAAAGAGGAAGGCACGACGCGAGGGGCTGCCTACCACCGCGTGACGCCGTTCGGCCGCGCGTGTGCACGCGGGGATTTACACGTGTACATGTGCGCTTATGTACCGCGTCATTACGCAAAAGTCTCGGCCACGGAGCGCGCGAATTTATACCCGGCGCGCACGTGACTCCCTGGTTATTTATTATAGCCGCTCTCTCTCTCTCTCTCTCTCTCTCTCTCTCTCTCTCTCTCTCTCTCTCTCTCTCTCTCTCTCTCTCTCTCTCTCTCTCTCTCTCTCTTACATTCTCTCTCTCTCTCTCTCTCTCTCACATTCTCTCTCTTTCTCTCTCTCTCTCCTTCTCTCTCTGTCTATCTGTCTCTCTCCTCTCCTCTCGTCTCTTTTTCTCGGACGACTCGACATCACAGATTTACGTCTTGCAACATGGAGCGAAAAGGACAGGGAGGAAGCTGTCGGCGCTTCGCTCGCGATTGACAGATTCGCGAGAAACGGTGATTCGCCTCCATTATCGCCTTTTTTTTCGACAGTTTCCAAGTCCCGTCCGGACGTTTGCGAAGTTCATTAACATCGTCGCGCGGGCATGCTTCGATCCCGCGTGATAAATCGTCCTGCGAGGGCCCCGTCTGCGTGTTGCTTCCGCGTTGCTCTTTTTCTGTGCCTCGCGATTAATCCCGACGAGCACTGTAATATTTTAATTGGTAAGATTTAAGTAGAAATGAAAACGATCGTAACATCACAGGGAGACACAAGACTCCGTTCGCTGACCGCTTCTCTCTGTGACTCGACAGAGATAAGATTACGGAAGTATTCGATTTTGTGCTATTGGCTTGTCATATTGCTCGTTTGTTAGCAGTCGAGGGTTCGAGGTAACAATGCCCAAACTACGTGAATGCCATGCAGGTAAATCTGCGCGACCTTCTCGCTCAAGGCTCGCGATCTGTTCCTCTCTCTTTCTCTTTCTTTATCATCGGCAGACACTTGAGAACGTCCGGTTTGTGCTCCTCCCGCCTCCATTCTCTTTGTCTACATCAACATTGTATCGTTATTTATTATCGCGAACTGTGTAAGGGGAGTTACAATGCTGACTCGAGTCGAAAATATGTGTGCGTATATATATGTGTTAACTAAATATATATATATATATTGCAAAACTATATACAGGGTGTATAAAAAGTACCGGGACGACGAAATATCTCGAAAACCAAGTATTTTAGAAAAAAATAAATGTTCAAACAAAAGTTGTATGGTTTCAAGTGGGACACAAAACAAAACTATATCATTTTGTTTGATGGTGGCACTTTCGAGATATTCACTGATCATGTTTTTCCTAGATGGAAAACCCAATTTTTTATTATATCGACCTTAATTTTAAAGTCATTAAATGAACAAAAGTCAGAGCGCTATTGTAACAATATATTCTTCAGACCAAATAGAGTAGAAAAGTTTAGTACCACTTTTTCTTCTGATAAATAGATAGCGATATCATAAGTTAAATATTGAAAAAGTTATTAAGTTTCCCTTAAATATTTCAAAATAAAGGGAAAATAGGCAAATAAAAAAATATTTCAGATAAAAATTGTTAAAATTAATTGATAGAAAAAGATATAGAATATGATATACTGTGTATATGCTAACTAAAAATAAAATTGACCTTTTCCGAAATCTAAAAATTATTTTTCTCTTTTTCTAAATAGTTTACATATAACTATTAAGAATATATAAAATACAATTTGTTAGTTTCTAAGGATTTAATTTCAGAAAATATATGTAATATAAAGAGCAAGTTGTGTATGACTCAATCGGGAAAGTCTCGTAGAAAGTATCCGTGGACATTTTTCCACGATCACCTCTCTCGATTCGACGCAGTCGTTCGCTAGAAATTTCCCTCGCTCTTCCACGGCAAACGAAAACGCGCGGACATGTATGGGGGGGGCAGCAGTTCGTCGTCGCTCGTAGCGATACATGATTTATGAGCGCAATGAGTGTAGGCGGGACTACCCGACTACATCCCGAGCGCAGGACGATAAGTCGTAGGTGCGCTTCCGGTGCGCCGCGTTGTAACTGCGCTAATTACACGACGTAACGACTGTTATCGCGCACAATAGCTATATATATATATACACGCGAGAACGCACGACGTAAAACGCATTGTGCGCGCGTGTGTGCGCGTGAATTAATTGCGAGAGACTGAATCGCCGAGCAATCTGTCGTGACGCTCGTTGCGCGAGATTAAAATACGCGAGACGAGCGCGAATCGAAACGAGAACTCGCGGCGGCATCGACGTCAAACGATCATTCCACGTGTTTGATAACGCCGTGTACGGCGCCGTACGTGCGCGTGCCTTTTTCCTCGTAATTCGTCTGATATCGAGAAGTCTCTCGCAACAAAGCACACGTCTCATTTATCGGCGTACCCTTAAGCGAAAACTGCTCGGCTCATGCGACACTCGTTCGCTCTACGGACGAGAAAGCGCTCTCGAGTTTGGCGAGCTGGAAGATTTACGGGAGAATAGAATAATTCGCGACAGCGAACGCGCCAAACAATGTATGGCGTACGCAATACACGTAAATGCCGTCTTTGTGCATTGAGAGAAAGAGAGAGAGAGAGAGAGAGAGAGAGAGAGAGAGAGAGAGAGAGAGAGAGAGAGAGAGAGAGAGAGAGAGAGAGAGAGAGAGAGAAAGAGTAAGCAATGGCGGTTGCTTATTTAGCGCGAGCGAGTAGTCGAGTCAATGACATAAATACGCCCGACGAGAACCCGGGACTGTCCTCGACTTCCCTCTGGGAAAGAGAAAAACACAGATAAGAGCGATACGAGGGATCAAAAGGCGCATGACGCACCGAATCGAAGATAGGGGTTGTCGGTTAAAAGCGAAAGAAAAAGAGAGAAAGAGAGATACGAGGGAGTTGAAACATTGATTGCGGAGCAAGCCGATTCGCGAGATTGGGCGGTTGCTTCGACGATAAAAAATAACGAAATAAAAAAAACGAACCGATAAATAACGATATGCAAACAAACGAACACGCCAAGGAGATAAATTCGTAACGCGCGTAACAAGTCCGCCTTCTGCATTTCGTGCATTTAATTTCAGAGCGAGTGAGCGTGTTTCTCGGAATGATGTTGGCGGTAATAACTGATATAATAAATAATAATAAATAATAATAATAAATAATAATAAATAAATCGATTTCCCAGCATCGCTTCGGACGACATGTCATTTTTGGAGGAGGAACACGCTTCGGGTCAAAACAACCATGTCGTTTATCATCTTGCAGCTATTAACTACTGATCGTTGTGGTTTCCTGTTATTTCTTTCTTTCTCTTTTTTTCTTTTACGAACGATTAGTCACGATGATACGACATTTAGATCGGACAAAGTGATATGAAAAACTCCGTCTATTCAGCGTGCATGCCGACTGCACTTACGACTTACATACATACGTCATCCGCGCGCAAGGAGAGAGTACCGCACGATCGTGACGATCTATAAAAGGCGGCGCGCCAAGGATCTGCGATTTAAATGAAAATCGCGAGTAAAGGGCGGACCGGCCAGTTCTTCCTCGCGCTCGACATTTCGCGCTCACGGACACCCGTTGTACATTACGAGATGACATTTAGCCCGCGTCGCAGATTATCGATGATGCGATATTATTTTGCGAAACCTGGGCACAGAATCGCCGGAGAAGCCAGCGAGGAGGGAGAGTATGATAACGTGTCCCACAAGGGAACACAACTGTGAGAAAAATCCAAGAGAGAAAGAATAGTGATCGCAAAACCTCGACGTACTCTTTGTCGAATGATGCACAAGCGCGCAGTATTACGTCCATTTTTTTCACGTGCCTGCGCTATCACACTTCCCGCACTTGCTGCTAAACGGGCATTGACACGTTTGCGAAGGAGAGGAGGGAGAGAGGGAGGGAGAGAGGGAGGGAGGGAGAGAGGAAGGGAGGGAAGAAAGAAACGTATTGTTGGAGCGAAATGCGCCGCGATGCGCCTACAAGTGCATCTTCAAAATTGCATTTCGTTATTCGCGAATGTATTTCACCCTCTATCTGTCTTTCCACCTTTGGTGGAAAAAGAAGTAGGAAACGGGGAGGGGGGAAGGGATAGAGCTGCGACTGAAAAAAACCAGCGGATGTCTCAGCGCGCGTGTCGCGAATTCGGAAGCGACTTCGAAACTCGCGCGGTAGTTAGCCGCGAAACTGTAAAATTGCACAATCTCGACAGATCCGCGGAATGGAACCGACAGGTCCGGCGGATGAAGAAATTCGCCCCGCCAATCGGAGTGAATCGTGAGACGTGAGACGAGCGTGTGTGTATTCCGTTAGCGAGAACTGTCACCCGCGCGTACAATGACAAGCGTAAACACTCTCGATTCGAGTGTTCAAGTGCAGCACGTCATCCGATTCTCCCCCCGCCCGGCTTCCCGCTCCCACGTCCCTCCGCGCTGCCTCTCCTCTCTCTCTCTCTCTCTCTTTCTCTCTCTCTCTCTCTCTCTTTCGCTCTCGCTCTCGCTCATTCTCTCGGTCGTTATTTCGGGAACGAAGAAATTCTCGCGATTCCGCGCCTCCAACGAATAATCGCTCGACGCAGCGTCGAGCGAGACACGTGCGACGAACGCGGCCATTCGGTCGTGAGCGGGCACAACATGGCGGTGGGTTTTCGCGGCGAAAAGACGTCGCCGCGGCCGGACGGGCTCGGCGGCGAGATACATGTCCTACGGGCTCACCTGCATATTCGTGTTCGTGTCGTCGATAATCTTGTCCGTTTCCATGTTGATCATCCTTTGGCCACAGAGCGGCGTGTCCTGCGAGTCCGGCGTGCTATGTTAGGCGCGACTTAGGGCGAGAGCCTGCGGTGATGCGCTTTTCACGCTCGAGTGTGACGTGAAGATCGTCACTGAGGCACCCGCGGAATGTACGCGCTGCTAATACGACGACACCGACGGTACAGACGGAGGAAAGCGCGACGGGACGAACGATCGCGGCGGCGACGGCGACCACCGTTCAATACGGACGACGGCACAGCTCCGCGGACGACGACACAAGACGACGAGGACGAGGACGCTCACGAGCCCTCGCCATGCACAGGAAGTCGGAACCACATTTCAACACCAACTACAGCCCGTAGCGGTAGCCGTGTCACTCGTGGTAGCGTCTGAGCGAGGAACCCGTGCTGGAAGACGCCCGCCTGGCCTGTTCTCACTCCACCTCCTCCTCGTCGCGATGGATATCGGAGTCTACTGCGGATTGCACAATATTCGCGTCGATCGTAACTCAGTCTTCCTCGTTGCGCAGACTGAACCAAACTGACCAGACGGAGGGAACGGAACGAAAGAACGGACGGACGAATGAACGAACGGACCGACTGATGCGACTGCAGCGCTCGCGAGATGCATTTTGAAGGGCCGTTTCGATTCCTCGAGATATCGCAAACGACAACGCCCGATTGGTTGATTGGCGTCTAGGCCGAACATGGATTGGCTGGTCGCATGCAATCGTAGATGGGCGCGATACTACAAAGTGCCGTCGCGTAACTTGAATCTTAATACATTTCGCGCAACTAGGACAAAGATAAAAGGAAGCTACCAATGTAGAAAATACAGTTAAAGTCTTCTACGAGGGTGGATCAATAAGTACCCGTGTTTGAAGACAGGTGGCATTGCTGAGGAAAATTGGCATTACTATCGTATACTACCATCCTTCAAACGCGCCATACAAAATTTCAAACTGATTCATAGGTTAGTTTTGATTTGACAGCCACTTATATTAAACGTGTTTGGTGTTTTTCGATACAATGGAAAAAGAGCAATATCGATCCGTAATTCACTTTTTATTTGTGGATGGAAAAACCTGCGGAGAAATCAAAGCGAAGTTAGATGCTGTCTATTGGGGAGGGATTCTTCACTATCTATGACAACCGTGAGATATTGGTTCAACGAATTCAAACGTGGCCGTACATCTGTTTTTGATGAGGAGCGCCCAGGCCGCCCGGCAGACGTGATTACTGAGGAAATCGTTGAAAAGATCCATGACATGATTCTCGCTAATCGCCGAATGAAAGTACGCGAAGTAGCAGAGGCCGTAGGCGTGTCGTACGGAACGGCAATCAATATTTTACATGATAAGTTAAGAATGAGGAAGCTGTCGGCCCGATGGATGCCGAGATGCTTTGTCGTTGTCAGCGTTGGCAACTGTTTACTTCTACATGCTTAAACATGCTACTTCTGTAATTTTGTGGTTAAATTATTTTTTTATTGTTTTTTATGGTTTTTTTATGGTATTTTTTTTTATGGTTGGAAACATGAAGAAAGAAGAAGGTTATGATGAGAATTTAGAACTGAGTGAAGACGTATTTGCTTTTGCAATATTAAAAATTGATTTAAATATTTTAACATCTAAAGACAATGTTGATTATGATTCTGATATTTCTAGTAGTGGTAGCGAAATTATATAGCACGAAAGAGACAAAGAGTGAGAGTTATTAAAAATGAAAGCAAAGAAGACTTAGATGAATGCACATTGAGACTATTTTCAAAAATATCATACTATGGTGAATTACAAAATTAAAAATTTATGTTTTATTTATAAGAGGAAAAGCATATTTATAAGATAAATAAAAACAAATACATTCACTAGCACTTGTAATTTTTCCCGTTCAAAATAAAACTTCTTTCTCCTAGACGCTCCGCTACAAAAATATGCTGGAGTTGTTAGTAGACAGTGACAAAGAAACGCGCGGAGTGCAAAGGGTTAATTTTGAAGCAATGTTTGAAGCTCTTTAAGCGAAATCCGCTGCAATTTTTGCGTCGAGTCGTCGCCATTGGTGAAATCTGGATCCACCACTATACGCCAGAGACCAAGCAACAGTCAAAACAATGGACTTTTCCGGGCGAATCTACTTCGAAAAAGCCAAAGACAATCCCATCGGCCGGAAAGGTTATGGCTACAATTTTTTGGAATTCGAAGGGAATAATCCTCATGGACTTTTTGAAGAAAGGAAGCACGATCACGGAGCAGTACTACAGTGAATTATTGGACCGATTCGACGAGAAATCGAAGGAGACACGGCCCCATTTGGCAAAGAAAAAGTGCTGTTCCACCACGACAACGCACCAGCTCACTCATTCGGAATCGTCGCGGCTAAATTGCATTACGAATTGCTGCCGCACCCACTCGCCCGACCTGGCTCCCTGCGACTTCTTTCTGTTCCCTAACATGAAAACGTGGCTCGCGAGAAAACAATTCAGCTCAAACGAGGTCATCGTTAAGACAGAAGCCTATTTTGAATAGTTTGACAAATCATATTTTTTGGAGGGATTAAAGAAATGGCAGGGATATTGGGAAAAGTGTATCATCCTAAAAGGAGATTACGTTGAAAAATAAAAAAAATTTTTTTATAAAAAACTTGCGTCTTCATTCCTGACACCGGTACTTATTGATCCACCCTCGTAATTCATTTGAAAACTCCGTTCTCTGATCGTACACGGAGATATATACGGGATTTATTCGCTTATACATAGAGGTGTATACAGATTTATTTGGATATCTGTATACAAAATACAGATCTGTATCATGGATTAAGAAAATAAAAAATAAATAAACATCAAACTGTAACATTATCTAATATCTCGACACGCTGACGAAATATTAAATACTGCTTGTAGAACACTGCATATGGCGTGTGTGGCCTCCATTAGATCCATTTAATCTGCTCGCTCTTAGATTTGATGTTAGCTGATTGAATTTGTGAAGCTAGTGCGACGTATGGCCTGTCGCAGTACGACGAGTCCAATGAAGGATAATAATGTCTGTAGCAGATGTACGTTAAACAATAGCCTATTACTGACCCTGCCACCACATCTGAAATGGACCGTGTATAAATAAGATGTTAATACGATCGGATTGTGATTAGCTTAATGTTATAAGATGCTTACCTTGCCAATGATGATGATAATCGCACGTTCTGCTTAATGCAATAGTGAGGGCGACGCAGATTGGTAAAAAGAACATACACAATCTCCATGATTGTCCTTTTCCAGCCAGACTGAATGTATGTAGCTTCCCGGCTAAGTACAGGGCAATGAATCCGAAACTCGCGAACGCAACTAAAAAGAATGTTTCTTTTATGAGAACAATCATCGAGACATATGTATAATCCTGTTTGCTTTCTTTCATGTGAAGCATGTGATATGTAAGCGAGATGAATATGCAAATGTATTGTGCACACATTTGTGATCACAGATGTTCACACTCATGTGAAAGCAACATACACGAGGAATGTCCGCTTGGAAATGACTTCTTGCCATCTCTTATGGTAATTGGATCACCAGTACACTTAAAATCTGCATTCATTTGACCATCTGGGAAACATCGCCAGAAGAAGTCTGGCCTTGGGCGACCTGGAAAATAACATATACACAAATAATGTTACATATTGTATCAATATAAGTTATATATTTAGTTTCAACATTTTAATTCGTAACATACCCACTATAAGTTTCAAAATATCTGTAATCAGACCGTTAAAACCTAAAGCTAAGGTTATAGATAATATTGCCTGTTGCAGATCAACTTTGTCTTTGTGCCATATAAAAAAGAAACAAATCACAGCAAATGGCATCATAAATACAAGAGGCTGAAAAAACAAATATTATTCAATATAATTTATATGGTACTCAATTAGTTGAAATTTCTCTAAATATATGCACCCATAATACTGTAGTTGGAACAAATGATTCCGTCTTTGGATTCCTATATAACCATAACTCATCTTGATGGATTTTTCTTGTAAATGGTTCTGCTTTTTCTAGTTCTCTAAATCATAAAATTCAAAATTTTATTTAATCATAAAAATATTAAGTTACTATAGATAATGAAAGACAATATTCACTAGAGCTTAGTCTTGCAAAACAAGTGCTATGTAAGTGGAATATCATGCCTGACATTAGTATATTACTAAATTTTAAAACATTTTCCTTAAGTTATAACATCCATAAAATGAACGACACTGTTGCAAATTAATACTAGTTAACATATTAATAAGATAAACATTATAATCTATATGAGCTCATGATAAGGTATTGATTGTTCAATTGCACGTCCATTAAACATTAACTTACACAAATAGTACAGCCAGAAAAATGCGTAGTAAAACGTCGAACAGAAAGCCCACTGAAAGCTGGAGTCCGCTTATGTTAGTCATCTCAATATATTACGCATTTAAACTATAAACAAGCCGCTTCGTCTATATAATGAAAGTATATAAATTGTAATACTAAATGCTTCATCGTGTAACTTCACGGCTGTGTCGACACCGATCGACAGGAAAGTGCGGTTAAGTTTAATGTGATATATCAGATAAGGATAAAACATCGATAGTAAGTCGGACACTATCGATAATATTCTCGATTGCAATTCTGTTTATAATCGTACTCTAGCAATTAATGGGTCTCTCTCGGTTATTCTCCAAATATTTTTATATGAAATTAATTAATTTCACATTGATAGTTGTTTTAATCTGATACTAAATTGAATTTCATTCTATAGTGAGGAGGAATTTTAGCATATGGAGACAAGAGTTATATAAACATAAGAGTTATCTTCAACCTGTTATATCTTTGTGAAAAATGATAGCGACATTATAATTTTAATATGGTTGTAAAGACTTTAAGCTTTATAATAATTTACGAGCCATCTTATCTCATTAATTTTACTGAAGCTACAGCCTATCGAAATTTGAATTATAACGAGATGTGTGATTCAATGCAATTCAGTTGATTCATCACTGAATCAACTGAATTGCATTGAATTGCATTACGATCTCAGATCCTGGATAGGGAAAGTAGCGGGAACTTTGGAACTAATATGAATCGAAATAACGGATCTAATAATGGGAAGTTTTTGCAATACCGTCTCTCAGATACGGTAAACGTAAATCGTAAATGCTATTGGTTGCATACATTATTGCGACGTTATTTCTGAGCAAATAACGTTCACAATTTACGTTTGGCATATCTGAGAGACGGTATTGCAAAAACTTTCTAATTTCTTTCTATAAAGCTAAGACGCCATGCATGCGGTGAGCTCCGGCAAACGGCTGCGGTGACCAATCAGGAGACAGACGCATGCCGGAGCTTGCCGCAACCGGACTTGCGCCTCTCTCCTGATTGGTCATCGCAGCATTTGCCGCAGCACACCGCATGCATGGAGTCTTAGCTTAACTTCTTATTTGTCATCAAAATAACGGGTTAATAATAACTACAGTTTGGTTACTATTAGACGCATTATCTATTTATATATTATATTATTGAATTATTGTATATTAGACTATTGAATACAATTCTAAAAGTTCACAAAAAACGTCTGGTTTAGTTTTGGCTAAATTTTATAGAGGCCAATAAATTATGGTTCGAATCTCGGTTAAAAATTTTTTATTTTTAGTCGAGACTCAAACCATAATAAGAGGTCTAGATTTTAGACTCTCTAAAGCCAGCGGCACACGGTGCTTGTTTTTGTGCTGGATTGCTTGCTGGATGAAAATACTGCGTTCTGATTGGTATATTTCCAACCATCTTCGGAAATGTACCAATCAGAACGCAGTATTTTCATCCAGCAAGCAATCCAGCACGAAAACAAGCACCGTGTGCCGCTGGCTTTATAGTTTATTAGACCCGTTATTTTTATTACAAATAGGGAATCTAAAAATCTAGACCCCTTATTATGGTTCGAGTCTTAGCTAAAAATCTACTTTTTAGCCGAGACTCGATTCATAATAATTTACCAGTCTGTATAAAATTTAATCAAAACTAAACCAAACATTTTTTATGAACTTTTAATATTGCATTTGTTAGTATTCATTGAATTATGGAAGATAATGCCAGTTTTGAATTTTTTCTCTACTAGAAATGCTCCAAAATAATTTAAATTAACCACAATTGATAGAAACGGACATTAGTGTGGCTTCGTTTCGATACTCAATGCCAGCACTAGAAAATCTATAGTACATGTGACACAAACTATATATTTTCTGTACTGACAGTGAATATCGGAACGTAGCTGAAATTGTCGATGCGACTTTACTTATGTTCTCAAAGTACATTTGGAATATTAGATTTTCAAAATTGTCGCTTCCAAGATCTGGCAACCCTGGCTATGAATGATGATTTTTTCTTTTGAGGTTATTCGTGACGAATGCGTTAAGCATTTGTAATATCTTACATTTAAGCCACGAGGAAGCGACAGAGTCGTTCACAGTATTATTCGTAAAACACTGATGTTTCACATATGTTTGTAACTTGATGAATAAAGAAACCTTCGTTGTCGATGTGATAGCGTGAAGCAAATCTAGGTTAGTTTTCATGTTCCTTACTGATTTAACTATAAAATACGGTAGAAGAATACATGTCGTGATGTACCATACGTGAATTAACTTAATAATTCATCTTACATAGTGCTAGAGTGTAAGGTTATATATTATTTATTTTAACTGTAATTACACAATATGTAATTGTGCAGTGTATCCTTTTAGGATAGCTTATATTACCATTACAAGTTAGAGTATCTGTGTGATATTTGGAACAAACACAGGTACTCAAGTTATATTGGTGCTGAAGTTGGGACAACATAATGCTAACATCTGTATCTGCAGCACCTTCTACTTCCATGAGTAGTTCTGGATTACCAAGTCCGACCACTGACTCATTTGATGATACTTTCAACAAATTAACAGAATATCTGCAGCAATTAGCTGGAAACTATGAGATGGAAGTTGATTTAATACTCAAAGACCATTGTTATGCGCGACCCTGGAATTGGAGGCCAGAAAATATTTATGTAAAGCCTGTAAAAAGACTGTTCTTTTCAAAAAATATTGTGACAAGGTATATTTAGCAATAATGCATAATTTAACACAATTTCCTTATGTAAAAAGTATTATATGATAAGAAATCTGTATTCATGGCTTTATTATATTGATATTTTAGTGATAAACATAAGAAAAATGAAGAGATTGTTGTGGAAGACATTGCAAATGACTCATCAATACCGCCGTTGGATCTAACAAAAGCTCGACAACAAATGGATGAATTTCAGCATATAACAAATATCGCGCGACCAGAAGAAGATGAGGATTGGGAGGACAAGATAGACAAAACATTATGGTCTTCGACACAGAATAGGATTTTCACCAAAGTTACACGTATACTAAACTCGGAAAGGCTTGCCAGATTAGCGAAAGCTAAGAGTAGAACGGAGCCGATCTTTCGACGAACGTCCGTGGATATCGCAGCAAGAAGATTTCGAGAGACGTTAGCGTCAACTGGATGGGACTGGAGATTAGTGCAATGGCTGCATCATTTACTGTTCGAATATCTTTCCCAGGAATATCTGGTTATTTATTTGGACATCTTACAGACTCTAAGACCAAAGATTACGCAGTTGATCGACAAGATGATCGCGGTACAACCGAATATTAATTCTAGAACAGGTCCTGTAACATGGGAAACACTGGGATCACTTTTAAAACGATCATGGGACCCAGTTTCACAGAGTCTGAGCGGAAGTAGACTTGTAAATATAATTTGATCATTAATGCGTTACGTAGAGTTACGTAGAGAATAATGTGTAAATTGCATTGCTGTAATGTGTGAGACCTGTATGTAATGTAATCGCTTGCAGAAGAAATTGCCTGGAAATCCGATTTTAATAATAGTACCCTCCGGCGTTACGTCGACCGTTTCTTCGCGTCAGACCAAATGGATCGCGCAACTGGGCTCGTTAGGTATGGTTATTACTGTTCATAGCCACCTGGGATTGGCGGCGAACAGAATGACTATGTTGGTGGTTATGGATCAGTTGGTTCAAGCTACAAGAGCGAAGATACAGGATGTCAGAAGCGACTATCCTGGTAGACCGATAATATTGGTTGGTTTCAATACTGGTTCGGCGCTTGCGTGTCAGGTAATTTTTCACAAATCTTACGTAATTAGAAACAATATCTCACAGAAGAGAAGAGTTTCGCTTCAAATAAAGAAGAAGCTTCACTCTTTTACATGTGGGTGTGTCGAGACTGTCTTTACATCTCTCTTGTGTCTTAATAATTTTCCTACTTGTTATCGTCATCATATACACACATGTTGAATCTCACGTGCCTTGCGACATAGGTGGCACAGATGGAACACGTAACCGCTGTCATCTGCATCGGATTTCCTTTCGCGACAGTCGAAGGAAAACGAGGTACTCCCGACGATACTTTGATGGATATTCGTTGTCCCGTAATGTTCATTATTGGACAAAACGCTACTCTCGCGACAACCGACGATCTGGAAGAGGTGCGAGAAAAGATGTTGGTCGAGACAAGTCTGGTAGTCGTGGGAACGGCGGACGACCACCTGAGGATATCCACGTCCAAGAAAGTGCTCGAGGGCATCACGCAGAGCATGGTGGACAGGTGCATATTGGATGAGATCGGCGACTTCATCGGCGGTATCCTGCTGCAACCGCATCCGTTACCGTTAAGATCATCGTTGGCGACCAACTGCGACAACAAGAGCAAGAAGGAATCTCATAAGCGACGAAATTCTACCAGCAGTTCCGTGGAGAGCGAACCCAACTCGCCGATCACGAAGAAGTCGCAGTCGAACACGCCAGTGTCGTCGGTCGGGACGAACGCGACGACAGGCGTAGTTTCCAAAGTAGGCACATTCAACACCCAAACCAATCTCATGCAAGTGAGCGGACAGCACAGCAACCATACCCCCAACCCGAAACGAAAGCGAACCGCCGGCAGTCAGAAGAACCAATTTGGCGAGCACATGAAAGCTACCAGACTACCAGGACAGGCAATTATTTGTTTCAACAATGTTATAATAAGTAATATTTATAAGATAAATATTCCGATATTGTCAAATTTCTTTCATGCGGACACATATCAGGATTTATCATTATTCAACTCAAATCTTTCTCAAAAATTAGAGAACACTTATTTTGTGAGTGTATAGACACATATAAATATATATATATATATATATATATAGAGATATATATTCTTTAAAATGTTAGAGAGATATGCATTTCTGAAAAATTCTAAATTAGCAGAAGCTCAGTAAAATGTATCGATCGTCTGCAGACAAGCATCAACGCAGAAAATGGCATAACACTCAATATCGGCACGCTGGCGAGCCTGGCACCCATAGGACCGATACGTTTAGCACCTACCACCGTTGGCCAAGGTGTGAGCACGTCCCCGAAGACATCCGGCGCGACGAAATCTGCGACCGCGTCCGTCAAGATACCGAAAATCGTTTCGAACATGCAAGGTGTCTCGAAGATAAAAACACTCGTACCTACCTACACGCCCATCACGAATGTGATCTCACACAATTACAGACAAGCAAACGTACCTGACAAGAGCGGGGACACGAAGCTGATGAGTGTCTTTACCGCGAGCGGAAATCAAATTAGAGTTAATACAAACGCCGGAGGTGAGTCGGGTCAGTTGACCTTGAGTTTAAAGGTCAGCTCCCTCCCTAGTTTCAGTTGCAAGAACACAAAATGCAGAATGTCTGTTATTCACGATGCTTCTTTCTGTTCTCATTGCAAACAACAGGAACTCTCAAGCCAGTCACGTCGGGCGGCGCGTTGTCGAATCTTCTGCAAGCCGGAAAGGGCTCCACCACAAACGCCGCATCCTCTGTCCGCGTGTCGTCGGCTTCCAGCATACTGTTGACTACCAGCAATCCGGCAAATAGTATAGCGCCGTCCACATCGTCCAATTCAAAAGGTAGATTACTATTATCTAATCAAATATTAAACAATTTGCCCGAAACATAGTCCGATCAGCCGGATGAATCGAGCGAATTGGTGCTGCAGTTTCCGTCTCGCGAGTGTACTTAGGACGATTCGTATTTAGCTAATCGAACGGCTAGGTCAATCAAGTACGAGGGTAATCGTCGTGTACGTCCGGTATGTCACCAGTCGTAACGTTAACTTCGACGTGTCTGAAGTGCTCATGCCCCGAAGCATGATTTAGTTCAATTGTTGACTTTAGCGTAGACGAGTAGACGTACCTTTTTTTATAGTACTTATTATTTAATAGCTAATATACATTCAAACATTTGCGTGAGTGAACACTTGATGGATACGTGTAAGGTAGCGGACTCTTATTTTCTTTTTTCTTCTCCTTTCTTTCGTATACTGATACATACGTCAAGGAGCTACACGATTTGTACATACATTGCATATACATTTTTATACTGAACTTTTACACTCGTACTCGTAAAGTAGCATTGTATAATAGCTTTCGGAATCGCACGACGGTGCATGATCTTGGTACACGGTAGAGACCACATGGAAGGGAACAGACTGAAAATTTAGTTTCTCATTATATAATTTTACCTCTGCGACTATCTCGATATTCTAGTACGCTAAGATATAAAAATTAGAGCAAAGCACACTAATGCTGACATATTAGCAGCTGACATTTTTTTACGCTGAAATGCTGCTATGTACTTTGCAACTTATAGATTGTATTCCAGCACTATGGACAATATTTGTACAATGTACAGGTCTCGTTGCGAAAATGTCCTTCAGTGTAGATAAAAATTTATACATACATATATATAGACTCGAAAAAAAAATTGACCGCACAGATCATATAGACGGTGATGTATATTATATGCTAGACCTTTATGAATAATATAATTATACGTACGTGATGTGTTCTGTGCAGTTGAAGGATTGTATTGCATAACTGTATAGTGCACATAATTTAGAAAAGAAACGAAAATAAATTCTTGCGTGTGTTAACGAGGAAGATAATACGTCGCGTGACATAGCACAGTTTCAAATTGTAGGACGAATGATTAATTTATATATAAAAAGCGTCTGCTCGACTCGTATTTATTGTTAAAACTTTTCCTATGTGAAGCCAAAAACATCCTCCTCCCAAGGTCGCTTAGTTGATTAATTTCACGCTCAACTTATTTCGCTTCGCAAGCTTCCTCTCGTTGAACGTATATTTCCTTCAATTTTTGCAGACAAGGCTAAAAGCGATTGATGAAACGTGTCCTTTTATCATTTTCAATTATTCGGTCTCGCATAATGTATAATTGTTTCGATGCGATCAAATCAAAATTTAACTGATTTCTTTCCTCCGACAAAATATTTCGAACATGTACGGAAACAAGGGAGAGGGAGAGAGAGAGAGAGAGAGAGGGGGGGGATAGAGAGAGGGTGAGGGAGGGGGGGGAGAGAGAGAGAGAGAGAGAGAGAGAGAGAGAGAGAGAGAGAGAGAGAGAGAGAGAGAGAGAGAGAGAGAGAGAGAGCTCAGCCTGCCTTTTCATCAGTCACGCGAATTTGCACGGTGGATCGATCGGTCACATATAAGCATAAATGTTATGCATATTATATTATGTATGCTATTAACATTCGCGCATGAGTGATGGATACTTGCATCGTGCATTCTGACGTATGCATCAAAGAGGAATATATTGTAAACATCAATGCCAGGTTGCCTTTTATTTTGTATTTCAATAAACATTTTGTTGACGTAATACACATGAATTTGTTTGATTTTCAATCCCTGATCCTATCCATTCACGGCCATTCGAACAATTGCGCACAATGGCGTGAGCTATAACTGACTGGCCTTTAAGACGTTAAATTACGGTCAATCGTGTCAGGTATTGCCGGTAATGTTCGCCCAGTAAGAGCCTTCTATTCAGCATGCCAAGTCTTTTGGGAAACGGCATAAGTGCTTACTGCTGTAGTAGTAGATCTCTTGTGAATGTAGCGAGATGAGAAAACAGGAATCCATTTGACACAGATCGAGAATGTGGCCTGTGTCGTCTCATTAGTTAAAGTAACTCGCTCGCATTTCAGGGTGTAGGTCATCCTAAGATTTTTACAGTAAGATAGATCTCCTCTCAGTCTAAATTTCTATACAGTTTACACATATCTTTTGTTGATATACACATTAGTTAGATTAGCGAAACGATGCCACGCAAATGAGACAAATGTACGTGTGTATTTTGTAGCGATGGAGGAGATGGAAGTAAGCAGTGACGCTCACCAAGCGATGCTCGGTTCGACTCACTCGCTGGACGTGTCCAGGTCAGCGCACTTGCCACGACAAGGAACCACATCGACTAATAGCGATAGCACGCACAGTACGTCGTGCGGTAACATAGTCATTATCGAGAATTCCCTTCACAACCGAGGCGCGCCTTCGTCGGTGATCGTACCGTTTAACAGCCAAGGTTGTTCGAGCGCCGTCTTGCCCTTGTCCAACAAACTGAAGATTTCCCACAAGTCCGTGAAAACGATGCCGAAGATCACTGTCAATGCGAACAACCTGCAGCGACTGCAACAGAAAGCCAAGTCCCAGTCGAGTGTGCCGAGGAAGAATCTCGTGAACGACATAGACGACGATCTGGGAAACATACTAGACATACCGATAATCTTCGCCAAAGACGACGACAGCTTGAGCAACATCGACAAGATGCCGGTTGTTGCTCAGACAACGATGGTGAAGGAACCTCAGGAGAAGCCGAAGTTGAACAGTACCACTAAGGTGGTTCTCATAAGCAACAAACAGGACAAACTGCAACAGCCACAGCAGAACAAACTCGTAGCAAGTTCCACGCAGGCTGTCATATGTCCGACGAATACGTCCATGCAGAACTTGAATCACCTGATACTGCAGGCGCGGTCGCAAAATAGCAACAACACTAGCAGCAACAACAGTGGTAACATCCTGCCGGCGAAGAACAGAGTCGGGGTGTCGATGGAAAGTCGACTGGTGCAGCCGACCGTCAAGTACACAAAGATCATCTTGGCGAAGAGGAACACGCTGCTGCCGCAGCAGAGCAAAAGAGCCGAGCAGGTAGTCACGGCGAAGACCTCGGACGATACGAGTGCACCCAAGATCTTGACCTTCGAGAAGGACGACAATAGATACGTGCAGGCGACCCCCATCGTGTCGGCCAACTACGAGGATCCCTTCGTGGACAATATGCTGGAGATCGAGGATGTCATCAAAACAAACATTATAGAGCGCAAGTACGTGTCCACGTCTGCGATAGATCCAACGTCACCCATGACCCTCGCCGACGACGATTGTCTGGCGGATATTTTAGACGAGACGAAGTTGGACGAGACGCAGCCAGAGCAGTCCGTCTTCAACGACGTAGGTGAAATGCGATCGTAGAGTTCATACTCGACTGCTTCCTGAGATTTCAGAGAAATTAGGGATTTAGGATTTTTCCGAGAATTAGGAATTTCTTTTTCTTTTTCTGAGGATTAACGACGCGTTAATTGCACGAAAAGCGACGCCTGTTAAGGATGCATTTTCACATGATATATCGATATTATCTCGATAGAGGTCTAACAGTATAATACGACTATAACGCTGTACTGATCTCCGAGCTTTAATTAATATATATTTTATTATTCTACTGTGACGCGACCTATTCTTAAGTTCCACCTGTCACATGTACGTGACGCACCAAGACAGAGTGAAAGAAGGAAAAATATTTATTGTTTGATTATTTAAACGTTTAATAATATTATATATTCTTCCATATATACACGATGGCCGCTGCTAACCCCGAATTGGCCAAAGAATTCGACAGACAAGAGTTGTATACGTGGTGTTAGCAGTAGCAGGAGTACCATTTCCATAAATTATATACTATACAATTGTTTCACGATACATTCGTACACCATGACTTTGACGTGCGTAAAGCATGTTACAAATAGACTTACATATAGATAGAATTGTTATACGAGCTCGCGGCTTAATCCTCTGTTCCCAGTAGAGCGTCTCCGTCTTGCGACGTGAACATCACATACATCTTTTTGCTTAACTCCGGACCAACTTTACGTACAGCCGTGAGGGGTCCCGCTGCTCTTCTGATCTGTTTAATATTAATAACTCGCATATTTATTACATCGTCGGATCAAGCCATAGTGAAATATACCATGGCATATGTAGAAACATATCTCATGAACACATAAACCGCGACCGCGAGTGGTTTACATTTATATGAAATAAGTTTAAAAAAATAAGCAGCAACACTTGTTAGAAGCAACTTAAATACATCCCTGATAATTTTATTATTTTATATAGCAATTTGCTAAGCTCTGATGGAATAAAACTGAAAATTACTCACTGGTATATCTTTCAACAAATTCATACCCTCTTCAGGTGTGCAGTTCCTGTAAGCCTAGAAAGATAAAATAAAAATATATTTAACATGTAATCATACCCATACGCATCAAACGGATGTTAATTTTCCAATAAGTATTTCCAGCAGAATAATATACACATATTGTTGTTACAATGTTATAACAATACCTTGATAAGTTTTGCTGGGCTTGAATAAACAGTGCATATTGCCTCTGCTATTTCCAAGCTGCTCAAATTGAATTGACTTAGCTGCTGCTGCCACAATCTCTTCAATCCATTTCCATTTTTATTTACACGTACAGTATTCCTGTTGTCTCCCATAACATACCAGTCAAACTTATTTTCCAGATTTTCCTTCTTCTGTAATTTATATGGCACCTCCGAAATAGATTTTGTATACTGATAGATCATTAATGCTAAATCCTGTACATTCTCGATTAATCTGCTGCTACATTTCATTACTATTTGTGCTTCAGTCAGACACATTTCAAGTTGTTGCCTGGATATAATGGGGAAAGTTTCAAATCGCTGATTACCTTTGCTCTTACATCTTGATTCTTTACTTCCAGAATGCTGGCCTGACTTCCCTTTGGCCTTCTTATGATATGTGAAATATTCTTCCATACCAAAAATAACTAGAGTCATATTGTAATTTGATTTCAAGGCCTTGCAGCTTGAAATGGATGCACAGAGAGTACCGTTTGTTACATGTTTCACAGCTTCATAGTTGCTCCAAATAACCACAGTATACTTTTCCGTCTGTACACTTTTCCTCACGCGCACTTCGTTATTCTCATCGATATAGCTCTCCTCGACATTTCGTCGCCAGGTGATACTGTTCGGGATTAATTCGCTGGTTACATTAAAATGAATGTTAGCATTTCGCAATACATTTTGAATTTCCGTACAAGAGATCGCGTCGATACCTTGATCGAGATTAACTTCCATGAATTTCATGCATTCCCCAGGCTTCATGTCGCGCGATTTCTTCGAGGCGATCGTCCGTAACGCTTTCTGCCTCGCCAGAGCTTGCTGTCGTTTCAGTCGTTCTTCTTTCAACGCGATCTTGTCCTTCTTGGACGCGGTTATTTTTTGCGATGCCTTCCTGACTTGATCTTCCTCGGAATCGTAAGAATCGGACATGGCATTCGACGATTTGTGATACGCGCGCTTGGGATCACCGTTGACTTCCAAATCGGAAAGATTTTCATCGTTTCTGAGACAGAACGGTACCTCCGGGAGATCAATATCGCTCGTAACGTCGGAATCACATTTCTCGTTAATTTCATTGATACATCCATTCGCCTTGTGTTTGTCGATAGGTGACGCAGGATCATCTGAATCGCTCAACAGGATCACGGTCGACATTCGTTTTCGCTCGTGGAAATTTCGATTATCTATTCCTTCCCAATCAGTTTAACTTGGACGGAAGCACACTATTAACTTCTTTGTGATTATCGAACACCACCAATTTATTTTACACAAATCCTTTAACACGATACAATATTAATCGTTAAATTTAGGTTATCTGTGTACATATTCAAAAGTGACAGCCAGCGTCAGAGGGCGACACATGCGAAGCATGTGTCGGTAATTCAACCAATATTGACCAATTTAATATGAAAGAGAAAATTCATATGTCCCTAAAATTATTCATACAAACTTATACAAGCAAATCGCATGATGATGTTCAAAAAAGGAAATCAACTAGTCATAATTCGATAAAGGGTTGCTCTTCGTATTGGAGCAAGTTCTGCTCGATACAATGCAAGGTCTGTTCTTTCTTGAAGGACTGAACTAGTGCAATAAGTTGGAGTGAAACAGACATATTTCCTTTCGCTCCAACTTATTAAACTAGTATGCACTAGTTTAAAAGTTCTTCCAAAAAAGAAAAAAACCAATGTTTCAAAGTGTCGCGTAAATCAAACTGATCGGTCTATTCATCGTTTCGAAGCATTCTAGCTTAAACAAATCCTACCTTTAAATATACAATTGATCGATATTTTGCGCATGTGTATTCTCCTATTGGATAACGAAACTAGTTAAGCTGCGTCGGAAACGTTACGGCCCGTTTACATAAGTCGCATACGCAAACACAGATCGCAGAACGCAGAAATTGACCAATTATAATCGAATGTGAGGAAAATGATCGACTATGATTGGACAACCATTACCCGAGTATTCTCCTTCTTTTTTTATCTCATTTTTATGTCTCTCACACCAACACAGCGGATGCATCGAGTGACGTTTTCGAACGCAGCTTTAGTAGCAGAAATGATTATAAATTTCTTTTCTTCATTGAATTTCGCAACGTATCTATATGCAACAGGAGAATTTATTTTTTATAATTTTCTATATACATAAATGTTTCTTTTGACTATCAGTCTTTTGAATCATCTATCTAGAAATGAAAGTGTTGCTATTTTTCTGCCACTAGCTCTATATCAAACGTCGGAAGCAGTGACCTTCTACAAAAAAAGAGCGGGCCGGATGTTCGCGATTTCATGAAAAAGGCGCGCACGGCGAACAGGGAGGCGCGTATAATAATTGGGAATACTCGACAAATTATATCGAGCGAAATTTCGTTCTGCTGAACAAAAAGAGAGTCTCTTTTCTTTTGATTGTATTCATGTATAACTAATTGAATCGCAAAAGTAATTAAGGACTGTGTATATATTTCGGGAAAAGCGTCAATAAACCATTTTCACCCCACCAAAGTGATTGCAATTGTAATAGGTTATACTCTGCAAAAATTGCGTGAGTACGTTGATCGTACTTAAATTGACAAAATTCACGTGTGATATTAAGTGCAAAATCAGCTTTGAGAATAATATATTTGAAGTAAAGTCGATTATTTTACGAAAATGGATCCACTGTCGAGCAATCCGATACTTCACATCGAAATTGAGGATGATGAACTCTTGGATGAAATTTTATGTATGAAAAATAGTAAACCTATTGCATCTGAACAAATTGATAAGGAAAAAGAAGATATTGATGAAAAAAAAGAAGATAATTGTCAGACAAAGGAAGATAATCAAGAAAAGGAAAATGGTGATAAGAAAAAGGAAGATATTAATGAGGAAAAAGAAGATTATTTAGAATGTGAGACCTATTACTGTGAGATAGAAGCTGAAAGTGTTGCCAAGACAGTACAGGAAAATAAAATTTTAAGTGTGCAAAATGACAATGATTATACAAAATATTTAAAGAGTACAAGTGATGTATATGTAGAGTTTAAAGACAATATACAGAATAGTCTGAAGGAGTCAAATATCAGTAATAAAAGAACAAGAGAAGATAATATAGATGATATAAATATTAAAGTTTCCCGCAGTAGATGTTACAGTGACTCTAGCTCAACCACTAATTCATCAGATAGTGATAGGAAACATGTAGAGTATGAAATAGATCCAATTGTTCTGGCACGCAGACAAAAGGAGATAGATTATGGAAAAAACACTATCGGATATGATAGATATATCCAGGCGGTTCCTAAGTAAGTGTTAATAGTAATGACAAAAAGGTTTTAATTTTATCATTTATTGTGCATTGGATATACAATTTTATTATCGTCCATTTATATTTGTTCCAGAGATAAACGTACACGAGAACATCCAAGGACACCACCAAAATATATAAAGTATAGCAGAAGAGGCTGGGATGGTATGGTCAGATTATGGCGGAAACAACTACATTCTTGGGATCCTCCTCAAGAAGACAACAAAACCAATTGAATTGGATAATCTATTAAAAAACTAATTAAATCATTCTTTTTATTTATATTATCATATTTCTTAATATACTTTTAGTTTCTTAATGCTCATTTGTTGCTTATTATTTCCAATACTTGTTATAATTTTTAATATAATTGTCAACAATCATACATAAAATATAAGAATACAAGTTTCGTTTTTATGTATGCAACTAGTACTTCATATTATGGAAAATTAATTATATATAAGTGATCAACTGTATAAATACCATTAATGTACATAGCTGTGTTTAAACAGCAATCTAAAATTTATTCAATAATATCCCTGTAGATAGCATAGTCTATATTTACACAAATTAAAATGGATTTTACAATATCTAATGACCTACTGATATGTTACATAAAAGATTGTAACAAACATATCAATATGAATATCCTTAATGTGATGCATTAGTAAATTGCGATTTGCTAAAAGTTCTGCACTTATTCCTAGCTTTTTGGTGTAAAAAATAGATTGTGAAATATGATCACAGCTTTTTGTCAGATAATAATTGTAGCAGGATTGATGGTAGTGATGAAGAATTGATGGGAATGATAGAAAAATCTATAATATATGTAACATATAGATTTTCAGTACTGGCAGCAAATTTTGGAACATAGCCTATATAAATTAAGACAAATAAGAAATAATCCACACGAGTCAGAAATATTAGCATAAATTTGAAATTTTGCAACATTTTATATTTTTTATACAGAATATTTATCTACAGAATCTATATCTAAAAGTACATGTGTAAATAAAACATTCTAATGAATATAAATTGCAATTTACACTTGGTTAAAAAAAACTTTATATTCAATTAAGAGACAGGATAAAACAGATCATTTTATTTTGCTTGTGTTTCAAATTTCTAAACCTTATTGGATTATTATTAGATACATTATTTTTATATGATTCTATTTGCATTATATAAATATGTTTTATTATAAGTATTAAAATTCAAAAGTGTAACATGTATTTTAAATATGTAATTGTGTTTCAAGCTTTTGCAAAATGGCATTCAGTTTCTGATTGGTATTAGCTTCCATGTCATCTATTCTTTTCATCAATCTCCTTTCCATATCATGAAATTTGTTATCGATATATGTTCTAACATTTATATCTAAATTTCTGGGATCATCTTCACTAGTTGTACTTTCTTTTTCATCATTTCTCCTTAAAATTCCATTTTTACATTCAAGAGAATTTGCTAGTGAGTCTAAAGTGAGAGTTTCCAGATTTTTCTGACAGAATTGTTCGTTGCTTGTTATTTCTTGTACACTGAAACATTCGAGTACTTTCTTTGCTATGTCAGCTCCTTTGTGTGCCTTTCCATTCACATTACTAAGAAAAGTCTGAATGACATCATAATTGAAAGCATCAGTTTTTCTTTCTTTCGCTGGATCTGTCAAAATAAGTTTTATACCGTATATCCACATCCTCATGCCTTTAGTTTTTATCCTAGTAAACTAATATAAAAACAATTATTATTAAACACAAAAACATACTTATATGAAGATAATAATTATTTTACCTTAATGCTGGCTTCAGTAGTAGGAGGTTGTATAGCTGTTTCTGCCAAATATACAGAATTATCTTCAAATTCATCTATAAAATCTGCAAATACTGTTGTTTCATATTCTCCTGATTGTTTGAAGAACTCCAGGACATTGGATTCAGAAACAACAGCAATACGTGCTATTTTCTGACAATTGGTCACTTTAATGTCTAGCATGCAAGGTTCTGTTGATTCAGAATCCATCGATTGTAGTGAAATACAGGTATCCAAGGAAACTATGTCTTCGCAGTTTATTCTACACAGAAGTTATCAACATAGTATTATTTTTTAAATTACCACTTGTATCTCAGAAAATACACATAAACTTTGTTTTGCTGGTTCACCTTTTAGATGAATGCGGCAAAGGCGCAGTGGTGATGGCATGGTAAAATTCTTTGTTATTAGTAATCCGCCAGTTGCACGAGATTTGTAGGAACTCGCAGTTCGCAGAAAATGGTACGCGCGACTCATGAACATCGTTGGCGCTTATTATATCCATAATTCTCGGTCGAATGGATATGTGTGATCAATGGTCACCTTTTCGTATAAGAGAAATATATTGCGGTTGCAGCTAACTTTGCAAATTCATCTACGATCATCCGCATTCTACTTCACTTCTCGTTAATTGATTCAGCGAGTGTTCTTTGGTTGTTCACATTTGTACTCATGTTTATTAATAAAAATCATAAGATATCCTAATTCCTAGATTTTTGTCAGCATATTCGATGAAGTAGAGGGATGGGCAATATCACCTCGATTATTTTGACATCGATTATCTTTATCTTGCAAAAATGATCATCATATGATGTTTTTCACCTTATTATTTCCTAGACGATAATTTTTTGTTCGATGTTACTCATTTTTTCTTGTCTTGAGTTCGTATAGCTCCGAGAATGCTTAATGACACCTAAAATCTTATAGGTTATGAAGGTTAGAATTGAAATCACATTCAATTTATACGCTTTGCTTAATATCCATAGCTATAATATATAAAGGAGGAAATATAAAGGAGTATTCTGTCGCATTAAGAAAACACATCATGTGCTCATTCTTTTTTTGAATGCGTATAAATTCATATTAGTGATCAAACGTTACTTACAAAAATATTAAGTAATATTAATCAGAAAGAGGATAATTATACATGAGAATATAGATATGATACTTATAGCAGTAGCTATGTCTCGTGTTAATAAATGATATAGATTAGAATAACAGCTATTATATATATAAAAGAACATACGGCAATAATTCCAAGGACTAAACAGAGATTTTGTATTATAAAAATACTTTTTTTCTTCAAGTGGTTTGAATCTTAGCTAGAGTATAAAAGTAGATTTTTCTCTGGCAGATGGTATAGGCTGCGTTCCGATATCCACTGCCAGTACTGAAAATACATAGTTTGTGTCACGTATACTATAGATTTTCAGTGCTGACAGTGAATATCGGAACGCAGCCATAATTTGACTGCTGTCACTCCACAGTTTCCTCCTACACTTTCTGCATCCGAAACAAAATGCGAATTGTAGGAAAGTGTAGCTAAAGTGAGCAGACTAATCTCTTTCTCTCTTTCTTTCCTTTTGCTCAAATTGCATGATACGTTTATCTAATGGTGGGGGTTCGTCTCGAAGTCTCGAGTCTCGAATCGAGTGGTTGAGCAAAGATATCGAACAGTATCAAACTGTTCTCACTGTGAGTTTCGTTCATCTTTCTGTCAACAGTTCTTGCGATCTAAAAGATATGTCCAAGTATAAGATTGTCATGGTTCGCCATGGCGAAAGCGAATGGAATAAATTGAACCTTTTCTGCGGATGGTATGATGCTAATCTGTCAGATAAAGGTGAGTATCAGCCGAGTGTCATCGGTCGCTTCTATTGCATTTGTTGCTCAAGGGCAAAAGGTCGTGTCATCTAGATCCATGGGATTTTTTAAAATTTGAATGACGCTATTGATATAATGTGATTGTACGTTTGCAAGTAGGTTTTCAGATCATATATAATCGAAAACTTCGTGGGATTTGTATCTGCTGGATATAAAAAAAATATAAGTTGAAACTGGTTAGCTCATGTTAATACGAATTATGTGTCTTCATATTCGGAATCTCTCGCAGGCAAAACCGAAGCTGTGTCCGCGGGAAAAGCCCTGAAGGATGCCGGGTATACCTTTGATGTGGCTCACACATCAGTGCTCACCAGAGCACAGGAGACACTCAAGTCAATATTGAAGGAGATCGGCCAAGAGAATCTACCTGTTCAAAAAACATGGCGCTTAAATGAGCGACATTATGGTGGTCTCACTGGCATGAACAAAGCAGAAACAGCTGCTAAATATGGTGAGGAACAAGTGCAGATCTGGAGAAGGTCATTTGATGTGCCACCACCACCAATGGAAGCAGACCATAAATATTATGAGACAATAGTAAAAGATCCACGTTATGCTGATGGACCTAAACTTGAAGAGTTTCCAAAGTTTGAATCTCTCAAGTTAACTATTGAGAGAACGTTACCCTATTGGAATGAGACAATTATCCCACAATTGAAAGAGGGCAAGAAGATCATCATAGCAGCCCATGGAAATAGCTTACGTGGCATAGTGAAGCACTTGGATCGTAAGGAATTATTGATTCATAATTTTCATTCATTGTAATTGATATAAATATTGTTACATTTGATTAATGTATAATTTATCATTTGTAGAAATGTCCAACGACCAAATCATGGGGCTAAATTTGCCGACTGGTATTCCGTTTGTGTATGAGTTAGATGAAAATTTCAAACCTGTTGTCTCTATGAAGTTCCTGGGTGATGAGGAAACTGTGAAGGCAGCAATGGCTGCAGTTGCCGCACAAGGAAAAGCTAAATAAACGTTATTAATGTGAAATATGTATCAATCTGCAAAGGACATATATGTTACATAAAGTATCGTTATAAGTATTTATTTTAAGTTAATTACAAAACTGAGTGAGTCATTACAAATGTAATTCAAGAGAGTGACAATAACGACAAGTGCGTTCTTTCTTGAAGAATGCTTACAAAAATTACAAATATATATATATATATGTATATAAAAATAGCGTTAATTATATATACAGGCTGTAGTCTGTAAACATCCCACATTTCCGAAAATGAAGTGTGTGTCTAAGAATATTTCTTAAACTAGATTTAATTTCACATCAGAATAGTGGTCCCATCTTCACGAAATACTTGGTAATCCTCGACTGTAATTGCTTCTGCTGTTTAAGATTACTGTAAAATTTCTTTATGTACTTAGTAAATAATTTATGGGTGATATTTATAATCTCATTTTACATGTAAGATCATCAAGTTTATCTTAATATAACGCAATTAATAAAACAGTCTTCATAGCATCTAAGAATGAATTTACGACGATCTTAAATTCAAAGTACAGAAAAAATGACTTCTTTGACTTTGTTGGTTCTTGTGCTTAGTCAGTAGATAGGACGCACCAAGTTGAAGTACAATCTTTCGATAGATCTTTATTCGAACGTCGACTCGCGTGCTGTAAATTCCTTTCGCGATATACAGTGAGGTAAACAACGATAATAAATAATAAGATGTCGAATTCGGACGTGCTTGAAAAGAAGTTAAAAATTGTTTTGCTGGGTAAATCGGGGGTGGGAAAAACTCAACTCGTGGCTCGATTCTTCACTGACGTATTAAATGAGTACGAAATCTCGGTGGATGTAAGTATTTTTATTCTGAAAGCATGTTTACCAGCGAAAAACCGTATGAAAAGTTTATAATTATTGACGTTTCTACACAAAGAAAAAAGAAAACATTGTTCCCCCTTACGGAAAAAACTCGAATATTGAGTATCTACATTCGATTATTCGAATTCCATCCATCTTCGGAAATACTACAATCAGAACGCAGTATTTTCATCCAGCAAGCAATCTAGCACGAAAACAAGCACCGTGTGCCGCCGGCTTTACTCTCAAATGTCGATATATATATTAAAATTTAAGTGTATATACACACATTTGAGAGTAAATTCGAACAATGGAGTGTTTTTTCATAAGGGCCTTTTAGTCGCAATTTGTTATATTTAACGCGCTTCGGGAAGGACAAAGCGTCGACGAGTTCAAAATTCTCGAATCGAAACTGTGACGAATCGTATCGCATTTTGCGATCACATGTGTTGATGCGTAAGCGATTAACTTCTGATTATTTTTTTACTCCTGTCCATTTAGCGCAAGCGCGTCATGTATATCTGCAATTTCAAACAAAAAACCTATTCGATATTCGAAAAACATTGATTGCCGTTTCTCTTAATAATAATATACGATATAAATTAATATTTTGTATGATGTTTATAGTCGGAAGTAGGTGCTATACATATGAAGAGAAGAATGAAAGTTGACGGAGTGTCGTTTGACATAGAAATATGGGATACAGCGGGCAATGAAAAGTAATGACAAGTTTATTATATATCGTATTTTTATTTGCAGCCTTTGCATTGGTCTTTGGTATATAAACGCAAGACACACACGTGTTGCTTCGGATATGATATTAATATTTTTTTATTCTTATCATTTATTCTTATCATTTACTAGGTACGACTCAATGGCTTTAATGTATTTAGATCAAGCAGTAGTCATAATTTGTTACGACATCACAGATTCACTCTCTTTCATGAAGGCAAAAGATTGGATGTTGCAACTCACAATCTATTCCTGTAAAATCTACCTATGCGCTACTAAAAACGATTTATGTAACAAGAATGAAGCACCAAATCCGCCTTTAAATAGTGTACAAGAATATGCAAAGAGTATAAAGAAAAAATTTTTTGTAACATCTAGTCGCACAGGAGAGAACGTTTGTAAGAATGAATACTTAAAAATTTATTAATTTTAAAATGTACAAATGTATATATTCATTCGTGTTTTTTACAGCCGAGTTATTTTATACAATTATAAAAGATTTCATATCATCATCATTGACTAAGAAAGAGTTAAAGAAGCATAAACGTACAAAGAAAACAAGTAGCTGGAAATGTTGTTGGAAGTCAAAAGCCTCAAGTTGAAAATTCAGATTAATTTCTACAACACATATAGGCTTAATAGAAACAAAAATGATATTTATCCTCATCGTTTATTCTCCTTCAGATTTTTGCTGTGATAATTATGACAACCAGAATACGTTCTTATGTATTGTCAAGGACTAGGGTATTTTTTTCAGTACCTTTTATAGTTATTTTGATAGTTACAAACTTTAGTATCCATAATCTTATTAAAACTGCATAACATGTATGAATACGTAAAATTGTAAATAGTGTTAATAACAATTAGTACCTCCAAAAAGATGTATTAAGATTTTGTATAATTAAAGTAGACTGAGTATGCAATTGAGAAATGCGCGTGTGCATGCGTATCGTGCTTTTATTTAACTGTAATATCTTTAAATAGCAAAAACGTGTGACGTCTTTTTCTTTTCAAACTTTCCTTGAAATTTTCTTGTACCTTAAAGCAGATGTTTGTACTTATTATCATTAAATAGGAACATAAATAGAAACCTGTTCTATAATACTGTGTGTATAATACTTTTATAATTTCTGAAGAAACTGAAAATTAATAGACAGAAATATTTAGTAAAGTTTCGACTTTACATTAAATTACCTTTTGATTCAAATCCCAGCAGAACATATTTTTGCGCGATATGGCAATTATAAGAATGCGCCTGTGTATTCTCACGTGTACACATTCATAAAATTTGGTAATTTAATAAAATTTAATTTTGTTCTAATTCAGTTATTTATCAGAGCGTCATGAGCTATCGAGTAAAGTGGGATATACAAAATTCCCTGGCTTTCTCATAAATACCAAAGAATATAAATCCACCAATAGTAAAGCCGGTTACCCTTGGGGTAAAGCCAGCAAATAGCCTGAAAGATTGCTCAGTTAAAAGAACATTATTTGTTTAAGATAATATTAGTCAAGAGAATAATAAGAGAGTATAGAAAAGAATTAAAAGAACATCGTGTCTCATCATGAATAAATTTCGATTGAGGAATAGGAACTTTTTTTAACTTTTACCCTTTAACGCCATGGTCTTTGTAAACCTCTTTTAACATCGTTGATATTTTAACTTCTTCTTTCTCCGCCGACGTGCTCGATAGCATAATTCTAGTTTTTGCGACATCCAACGGTGTTGTTATGGCAGCCGATATGGCAACTAGAAGCAAGCAATTAACATAGTACTATTCAAACTATGACTGCACAACCAAGTAGTTGTTCCAGCTCTGGAGTCATTACCTGACGCGGCGCCGCAAGTAGCGCCTTCCAAAGGTGTGCATTCCCGGTGCATCTGTCGGGTCCAACAAAGCTTGAAGTATTCCCACAGTGGCATTTGAATCAAGCCGAATGGCATATCACGAAGAACAGTGCTCCCGTAACCACGATATAATGTTCTTAATGCTAGTCGATGTGTGTCTAACAACAGTGCTTGTTTTCTCTGTTTAACTACTTCCACTGGCACTCGTACCAAACAGGCTGTCTGTATATGAAGTAATACAATTAGCCCATTAGCATCAAATATATACTTTCAGTTTGCAAATCATGATTTGTGATACATTTCCTTTTTTTTTCTATATGCATGATAATATAGAAAACGTGTCATGTATCAGAATAATTTACTACAACTATATACAATGCTATAATTGTTACTTACAACTTCAGAAGATGATGCTGCAATCATGTGTATAATGGAATGATATTGATTTGGTATATATGGTTGTGAGTGCTGCTTTATTCCTTCATAAGTAATAAAAAATATAGCAGCTGTAAAAAACAATAATAATTCATTAATAAGAACGAATATTATATATATTGATAATAATAATAATACCTGATGGTGCAGAACCTAGGACTACAGGTCCAATCCCTTTGTATAACTGCTTAAAGCCTCCAGATTGGAAAAATCCATGTTGGCTTTGTAATCGTGTCTTGAGGGTGTCCAGTGGAAAAAGTGTCACGTCACAAACAATTCCTGCAAGAGCACCTGACTAACATTAAATATTGATTATTTCCCAATTTTTATGTCAAGTTCTCGATTTCATGTCACATATGTTTTAAGGATGTCTTGAAAATGAACAACATTAAAACAAAAAATCATTTTGTAATAATAGCTCGCTAAATTCATAAAAATCAACTCACAATACATGTACAAGGAATAAATTTATTGTTTTTATTTACTCAGTAACTTATGTCTTATGATAAGTAATCAAGATCTATAAACATCTATAATCATCAAAATACTAACATAAACAGAGTATCAGATTAAAATTAAACAGCCAATGAATATTAATGAGGACAATAAGTAACACGATACTTACAATAAACGAAGTAAGTAAGATATCACTCTTTGAGAGGATCGCTGATTCCTCCGATTCGTGTAACATCTTTGCACGATGAAACACTCTGTCTTGGATTTATCTAGCGATTCTACTGAAGACGTGAAGATTTGAAGAACTATGAGGTAACTTGGTAACGTCATCGAGCTGATAAAAAGAAAAAGGCTTCTAATTAGAAGACTATCTTGAGTCAGTTACCAGAATCATCGAGACCACTTTCGGCATCGAGAATTTCTTGCGAGCATGACACACCTGATGTCAACGGAGATATAAAGCGCTTTGAGCGTCTCACGGTCTTGTGAAATGTTAAAATCATTATTATTGTTAAATGTTATAAATCATAATTATTAAGGAAAAGATACGAAAGTGAAACCGGCGCTAACCGGTAAAAACACGTGTAGTACACACAAGTGTACATTATATAAACGCGTGAATCATCATGTAACGTCGTCTGCTTCACGGTACCACTTAACCTCCAAACCGACTCATCAAAACCGTACCTTAAAACACGTGTTTCCAAGATGATTCCGCGATCGACTTTTCTGCCGCTTTTTGCACTTGAATGCTCTCTCTTATTGGATAGTGGAAAAGTGTTTGGTTCGAAGTTGTTTCCAGGTTATGTGTCATGCGCATTGAGCGGCAGACCGTTTGAATCAGCCTTTAAATCCGACTCGAAGGCGCTTGCGTCGCGTCCGTTCGCTCCCTGTTCTGTTTTCGCAACATGCGCAGCGACCGAGGACACGAAGAGCGCGGACACCCTAAGGAGTGCACGGCAATCGAGATGTCGAGTGGGAAGGCGCGACGCTAAGAGACGAGGTGCACGACGTCGAGACGGTGAGAGTGTCAGTGATGCTACAACGACGAGCAACGCGATAGTAAAGCAATTCGCGGGGATTCTCTGCGTCAAGTATCAGGATACAATGCGTTGCGATGTAGCTGGTCGATTCCTCTGACATTTCGCGGGAATGCTGCGGTGAGACACGACGACGTGAACTCGTCCTCGCCTAAGGATACAGTGATACCTGGAATAATTGTCTGCTCTTCGTCACTGTTTTCGAGATCGATAGATCCTACAGGCAGGTATAACCGACATACCCGAAGGGAAAAGAGGCGACGCGCGAATCGGTAAACTGATGCGTCGAGGAGTGACAGGATCGCGATCGACGACGACGACGACGATGACGACGTCGATGACGAGAACGAGGATGAGTACATGATACGCGTAATCGTCACAGGTGTGCATGTGGTGAGGAATACGCCGAGCACACCCACGCACGCATGCACGTTTGTTGACGGAACGCAGCAAAAATCAGTCCGAGATATCCGCACAAAAACACAGATTACGGGTGTATCTCTATTACGATCCTGCTCCAAGATAAAACACCAGAATATTGTCGCAGCGAGAGCGAAACGAAGTTTTGCTCTCTTGACGTTCTCGCGACTGAAAGAGGCCGAAAAACGAGCGAATTCTAATCGGCATTCATTCCCCGCCCCGACGTCGACTCGACCAGGATCAAGTATTATAAGTTGCAAATATGTATTGTGATTCCCAGAGCTTACCGAGGTCATTCGACGTTGGCGTGACTGATCAAATAACCGCTTGTGACTAACACTTTATAAAGTAAGAATGCATGAAACTAATGGTACAAATAACATGAGAGAGCCGAATGCGACCGATGTTACCGATTCTACTTTGTACACCATATCGTCGGGCGATCCCGACACAGTCTCCTCAGGCATGGCAAGTATTTACAACGAGACGTCCACGATGTACGTTGAACTAGCGCAGGAAAGCGAGAACAATCAACGCATATGGAATTTGTCTAAGACCGCCGTAACGTCGTTACTCGAGCCTACGTCGATGACGTTCGATACGTCAGGAGGTACCACCACGATGTATACACCGACTACCACCTCCGATTCCTTCGATGAATTCGGTCCACCCGAAGGAGTGGAGTATATTTTCGTGCCACTCGGTGTGGTGGTGTCTGTTATTATATTATCAGCAGTGGTATGGGTAGCGATATCACTTTTGTCATTACCTTGTGACGTTTTTCCCCCTTCCTTGTTTTTTTATATATATTTTCAGATGCAAGTGCTGTACAAATATTGCAGAGAGAAAGAGAGAATATGTATGTGTGTGTATGTGTGTGTGTGTGTGTGTGTGTGTGTGGTGTGGTGTGGTGTGTGTGTGTACACATATACATATTTTTCTGAGTAAATATATGTATCCGCTTCTCAATGTCAGAGACTACAGTCTTATTCTGCATAAAGCTTGTGTGCAAAGCTGATACAATGATGGCTATATAAGGGCAAACTTTTTTGTTTAACAATACTTTGAATCCTATTTTTGTTAGGTACGACTGCGATTTTCGGGGCTTTGATACACAATTCTCTCTTCTGAAGGTACTAATTATATCGAGGAAGCGGAAGTTGGAACGTTTGAGACATAGGCTTATGCCAATGTATAACTTTGATCCTGGAGAGGAAGAAGAGGACGACTGGGAAACTGAGCTACTGGACGAGTGTTATAACACACATCAGAAACGAGTGTGTAAGATTGTTTTCACTTGTAACCCGTGCGCTTGTCTCGAAAATAAGTAACAATTGATTTTACAGCAAGGATACCAATCCATGGATACTGAAGAAAATGCTGAACTGTTCAGTGGTCACTAATAACACACTTTTGAATATAATGTTTGAATCCACCTTTTCATTATATTTTACATGCCTTAAACTATAAATATCATTATTTATTGTAATTTTTATACTTGAACTCTCAATTCTAATGGAATTTACGATTTTAACCGTCACATAAAAACTATATTTTTACTTACATAAACTCTTGAAAATTAAAATTTCGGATAAAAAGAAGCGATATTTATATCAGACATGTATATATCGTGCATATTCGACATATTCCGATTTTTCAACTACTCCATAGTTGTATAATTTAGTTAATTAAATATCATGTTTTAAGTTTCGAGAATTGCTTTCTAAAAGAATTGGATTATTCTTTATAAATGTTCGCAATTTTCACACAAATTATGTGTTTAAGTAATATTACGTATATATTATCAAATTGATACTTATTCTACACATATCTTAACACATATTCATTTCTACGAAAATTTCCTAGCAGAGGATATAAAGAATATGACATTTTTCATTTTATTTATAGGTAGGTATAATAACCTACCTACCTATATTTGTATACCTACTTTATCTATATTCGTTTGCATTATTTTCTTTTTTTGGTTGTTTCTTCATTCAAACTTTTTTTAAAATGTTAATATTTCTATGAAATGCTATCATATACAGAGCTTTGTGACAACATATATCTATAAACATATCTCACCGAGTGTTAAAAATTTTGGGAAAATGCGAACGCAATTTTAATAAGAGTACTTCGAGTTTATTTACTTTAATACAAATTTGACATTCACACATATGCTTGCCTCAAAAATGACACTAATATAGACATATTCATGTTTAATTAGAAAAGAATAGTCCCTGCATATGTTACATACAGTAGTGTTTTTAACATTTTTTCTGTGTTTACCTTTTTCTATCTCTTACAATATTAGATCAGTATGAAGTTTTTGGCTTCACGAATTGTAATACACATATGTAGGAGAAAAGGAGGTAGCAAATATGTGACACAATACTATACCATGTGTGATATTAGACTATTCCTTTTAAAAAAAGTTTATCAAATCTTTCGTGTAGACAAACAGAAGAAAAGAAAAGTTTTGAGATCTGCATCTTACAATCCAGTCTTTTACTGTCAAAGATAGTTACACATGTAGTCTTACCACTTAAAAGTATGGATCATTATGAATATTAGTAATGTGAAAGAAATACAAAAGAACTTAATAAATTTGTAACACAACTTTCGTATCCAACGTTCTTCCTCAAATTTGCCGTGTGTGGCGATGTACACCGCGATAACTAGAATTTCTAGGGCGGCACCGGTAACCGGTGAGAGAACAGTGTCCACCACCATCACCACTTTTACCGCGTTTTGAAATTTCCCTCGGAAATTTCCAAATTACAGTAGGAAATGTAAATTTGGATAAAACCGAACTTTGATCAACTGGCTTAGTTTTTTTTCTCTTAAAAAGGACCTTCGAAGGATAAGTCAGATGTGTTAGTTTCATCCACCCCTATTGCATTCTTGAACGCTTCAGTTTTCCTCTTCTTCCTCTTCCTCTTCCTGTTCATCTTCATCTTCACCAGTGATCTCGGGTTTCTCTTCTGTTTTTTTTGGTCGCCCGCGACCACGTGGCGCGGTAGTCGTGCCTTTTGGTGGTCCTTGCTGTAAATTTAAGAATATCGTGTTTTGATCAATATAGCACAAGTCGGGATTACATGCAGAGGCATAAATGTTACAGATTTGTTGTAGGATTCAATCAAATTTTTTTGCTAATATCCAAATTTCTAATATCAATATGCCATCACATGTATGTATATTTGTTAATTTTGGTACACAATCACAAGTGTCATGTACCTTCTTCTTGTGCGAACCCTTAGGTCGACCTCTTCCCTTTTTAACAGGTCCTGGTGGCGCATCATCCTCGTTGTCAGACTTTGCTGGGCGTACCGCGTTGTTTTTTTCCACAGCAGACCTTCCCCTCTTTTTGGGCTCTTTAACTGCATTCTTCTCTGCTTTAGAGGGCCTACCCCTCTTCTTCTTTTGTTCCTCCATAACGGGTGAATTATCGTCTGACATATTTATTGTCTTGTTTTACTGTGAAATTAAGAATAACGATATAGATGACCAATTAGAAGAGAATCAATCGTTTCAACTGCTCGGCAACAATTTGTATTTTGAATTTTAAATATCCTTTGTTTTATCCAATGTTAATGTTCCTGCTTATCATTGTCTTCCTTCCTTAAACTGAACTTAAAAAGCTAAAACATCAGTTTCTTATTATTGGGTACATAAAACTTCTACGTCATTTGATATTATTTCTCTTGATATCTGCAATACTACAGGACAAACTCTAAGCGATTGCCTGTCTCTTTTCAGATTGTGTCATCTCCAATAAGGTGAACTGCCGGGCAAAGTGGCTATGCAGACAACTACTGTGTATTTATCCATGCATAAGTGTGTATATGGTATGCAGTTAACACGAGAATAGAGCCTACTCTTAATATTTATCAACAAGATATAGAGTAATAACTCCCTATACTCGCGACTAATCTGTCGAATTTCCAAATTAGTGCCACACATATACATACATATATCGATAAAAAAAAACAAATATAAAAAATGTATATTATACAACTATAAATACACATATATATAATACAAAATACACATGTAAAATACGTGTCTCTAAGGTGCGTGAGTCGCATACGAGTGTGAAATACTGAGATCAAGCTCGTATGTCTGTTTATTATTATTGTTGTTATTATTAGTATTGTTGAAACGTAATAAGAATCTAATGTGCTGACGAGAAAAACAGAGAGGGTAAAAGGATAATCGGAGCGGGAAGCGAACGTGGCTATCGATCTTTCGATATTTTCCTCTCGCTCGGCCGTTGTCTCGTGCTGTTTCAAATTATCGGGGATCGCGCTCGCCAGAGCGAGAGGAGGAGGGAGGTCGAGAGAGGCAAGGAGACGAGAGGAGCCCGATCGAAACGCGCAAACGCGCCGCGAAAATCAGTACTGTCAATTATGCGTCTCAAGTTTACAACGAGATACGTGCGTACACGTATAATTTGCGTCCGTAAATTGGCAATTCACTGCCATGTCGCAGCGGCGGTCGCGTCGTGCCACGCGATATGGCGTTATCGCGATGCGTCGCTTCAAAGAGATAATTTATTCATCGCCGGTTAATTTATTCGTCGCGTCGACATCGCGAGGTGGCCAGGTCGCAACGGGATCAATCCGTGCGCGCGATCGGTAAACGAGACGTAGAAGAGGAATACGCACGCACGCACGCACGCACGTACCGCTGCGCCTCCGAACGAAAGTTCCGCGCCCGCCATTTTCAAAATTCGCGAACGGCCGTATCCGTCTATCGTAGATAACAAGTACGTCGACGGGCCTCGGGCGGCGACGGCGGTTGCGTGGTCGTTCGTCGCAACAAAAAGCCGCTGTTCGTGATTTTTCACGCGAATTTTCCGCGCTCACGAGGAAAAAGGCAGGACATGCGCGCGTCGCCGGACTCGCGATCGAACGCGGCAGAGAAAACCGATCGGGAGAGCTCGCATCGTCGGGGGACGCCATGAGAGAGAGAGGAGGCGCGAATCATGGCGTCGCGCGAGACGTGCCTTCGCGGCGTCGTTTACCGTGCCGTCGGTGCTGCGCGTCGCGGAGCCATCAACGGCTGATATCTCTGCAAGTAACGACGGGACGGCGTCGCGGTTCGTGCGGAAAAATCCGCCGCGGAACGGCCGTGCGACCGGCGGTTGTTCTGCGTGTCGATCGCGCGCGTTTACCGTCTAAATAAATATTCCTCGGCGGCTCGTAACGACGTAATCGAGCGGCCGACCGAGGCTGCTGCAGCACACGCGTATTCGCGCTATTCTCACGCACCACTCTCACTCACTCGGACCGCGCTCACTCCACTCACCTCGATTGACTCGCGCAATCGGCGCGGCTCCGTTCCCGTCGGCAGTGAGACAAAGGGTGATGATATCGCGCTCCTTAACGTCGCCGGTTGCGCGCGTCGTGGCGTGGCGGCGGCGGTGCCGTGTCGCGTCGCGTCGCGTCGCGTCACGTCGCGTCGCGTCGCGTCTCGCGGGTAACGGTCGCGTCTTATCGGGATGCTGCGAGAGCTTAACTCGCTCTACCGTTGGCGTGCCGCTCGCGTTCGTTTGCTCACTCACTCGCTCGCTCGTACGTTCGTTCGTTCGTTGGCGCGCACGCTCACTCGCTCGCTCGTCGTATGTGCACTCGGCACGCTTCTACCACTCTCGTTCGCTTCGCCGCCGTATCCGCGTATATATTATAGTAGGCGCCGCTGTGCGCCCCGCGCTTCACATAGTATCTACACTTGCATATGCACATATACGTATGCACGATATGCGCGCGCGCGCGCACACTCGTATGTAACTCGCGCCCCGCCGCCGAACCCACGCAGCGCAGCCTCCTCACTCTTTCTTTCTCTCTCTCCCTCTCTCTCTCTCTCTTTCTCTCACGTCGCACGTTACCGTCGTATCGTCGCTTCGGCTGATCTACCGGCCGGCGAACGTTTGCTCCACTCGTGATAACCGCAGTCGCGAGGTCCGCGCTGTTTTCTCATCGAGTGTGCGAAGGACGACTCTCGTCGAAATAGCTGGTCGTTAAGTCGAATCGTTTGTACGCCTATGACTTACCAACGCGCGCGCGCACGCGCGCACACACACACACACACACACACACACGTGTACAAGGCCATACATGCATACACGACGCATACACACACATATGCACACACGACACCCATACATGCACACGACCGACTTACCGAGGAATAGCGTGCCGCGACTGACCGACGACGATGCACTCACTGCGTCGCGATTCGTCGAACCGCGGCCGCCTGCCTTAAGGACCTCTTCCTCCACCACCGACCTACCGGCCTGAGCGCGCCACTGAGAGTTCCCGCCAAAAGATCCGTGGCGTATCGAAATATTGTTGTTTTGGTTGCCTGCGACGCCGCCTGGCAGCAATCGTGTCGGCTATTCGGCGAGAGACGACACCGGCGACTCGTAAATCGCTCTCCGATGAGATCTTTCTCTTTTTCTCTCTCTCTGCCTTTCCTTCTCTTTTCTCGCCCACCGGCTACGAACCTCGGGCGAGAAGCAAGAAGGACCGATCGTCTGTTGCGAGAGCGGGAATTCCGCGCGCGATCGGCGCAATTTGGCGCGGCGCGCGCGCGCGCGGCTGCACAATGGCGGCATGCTGCGCCCGCCGGTGGCGATGGGCGAGGAGCGGCGGCAAGGGGAGATAGAGGAGAAGGAGGTGTGCAAGAGTGATCGGCGGGCGGGAGGTAGGAAGGAAGGAAGGTACATACACCGCGACGCGGTTCGATACCGCCGATACGCATCCGCGTGAAGATTTCGTTTGGTAATATCGATAAATATCGAGGGAGCAGTCAGAGGGAGGCAGGCGCGTCACGTCGATATTATTGATGATGAGCCATATCGTCGTGTGTGACGCGCATGTGTGTGCCGGATTATGCAAAGGGAAAAAAATCGCCGTACATGCGAGGGACGAGCGTGGAATAGTCGCGAGTCGGTTGTAAGCGCGGTGGCAAGGTCGTTGACCTCCTCCTCGATCCCCGAATATTGGGTGTACTTTCGACGGGACCGACTGGGACATTGTCGATGTAATGAAAATTGTTTTGCGTTCGTCACGCGACGATACACGCCGCTTCGGACTCAATAACACGATTGCGAGTCCTTCGTATCGAACCAACTTCACGATGGTACGGAGAGAGAAGTACTGCCTTGTGTTGAAAAATTAACGTTCTACTGTGTACTCTGCTCCGCGCGGACTCTTGTATTCTTCGATATATTATTTCCTGTGTTCCTTTCAGCTGCTTGCCTGCGTTACGGTCGCTACAATGAAACGCGGGTATATGGCTCCTTACGTTTTGGAGAGAGAAAGCTGGAGGATATAACAGGTGTAGAGGTATATATATATATATATGTATATATATACATACATATATATATATGTGTATATATATACATACATATATATATATATGTATATATATATATATATATATATATAGAGAGAGAGAGAGAGAGAGAGAGAGAGAGAGAGAGAGAGAGAGAGAGAGAGAGAGAGAGAGAGAGAGAGAGAGAGAGCGCGCTAAAAAATACACAGAATCTGCGAAAAATCGAACAGAATGTGACGCGAACAGCGCGTCCTGATAAACCGATAACGATCGTAATTGGAAGATAAACATCGGACATTATGGCGTCTAATTAACGATAGACCGTCTAACCGTCGTAACGTACTCGGGAGAGAGGGACAGAGAGGGAGGAGAATGGCATGTCGTCGGCAGGAAACCCTGCCATTTGTCCAGGGCCAGCGTTAACGCGGGAAAAGATCGATCTCGAGTGAGAGAGCGAAGGATTATCGCGTCAGTATCAATTAACCTCCCACCGTGAGAAACGTCGCAGATTCCGCCGAGCGCGTTATAAATACCGAGGTGCCGAAGGCGTTTTTTTTTATTTCCTCTCGTTCGTTATTTACGTAGTTTAGTACCTGCACTTTCTGCACCCGCTTGCGCACGCTTCCGTCGTGTTTCGTTCTCGCGCCGAAAGGAGCCACGCGAGACGCGAGCGCGTTTCTCCCCTCCGAGTGCAAAAAGTGCAGCGACTCGACAGACTCGTTGCGTTATCGATCCGGCGTGTTTATCCGTCAACGTGACCTGAAAAAGCGAGCGAACGAGCCGGTAATTAAAAATAGACTTTACTCTCGCCAAGGTTGCACTCTCTTCGCTTTTCTCTCCGTTCGTGCGTACATCGGCCGTTTGCTCCGAGCGAGCGAGCGAAATCAGTCCCAGCTCGAATCAATTGGCCTCCCGCGGATTATCGCGTTGTTCAGACGGCGACCTATCATGAGAGCACGCGGACGCGCGAGAAATATTCCTAGGGAGAGCGAGAGCGACAGAGAGGGCATGAGAACGGAAGAGCATAGCGTGGACCCTAGGCGCACGGCGGCGGCCATGTTTCCAGAGCACATTTACCGATCGTCGCTTCGTTGAAACAGTGATCCTTTATATTCGTTTGTAATTACCGCCCACGGCAGATAAGCGCCCGGTAATAATAAGCGGAGGCGTGAGCCAAGTCGAAAAATTCACGTGCGTACTATCACATCCGGTTGCCGCTGGCGATAGCAACGTTACGGCGATCGGAAGCGGCATTGTATTTGCAATACGTCGCGCCGTGATGCGCTCGTCGTAGTCACAGCCAACTTCAGAGGCGTGTCATGGTTGCGATCAGCAGCGCGGCGTTGTTCCTGCTAGCGTTCCCCTATAGCCGCTATTCGTCATCGAATTTCTATGAAAGATGCTCTCATTAGGCCCGAAAAAGGACGGCGGTCCTAACGCGAAATTCTTCGAGTCGCCGGATATCCTCGCCCAGCTCGACAGCGTGAAACAGTGGCTGCTGAAGAACTGCAAGAAGGTACGTGTTTCGCTGCTGTGTAGAAATATGGACCCGGCGTCGTCCGTTCGCGACGTTCATCCACTGCTTCGTTCTTTGTGCTGGCGCGCGTGTGATTTTTCGTCGCGACGAATATCGCGACGAAGTCGCTCAGTGAGTGGGGAAAGATTGAGCCATCATACGTAATAGTGATGATTTTCACGATGTGCGGGTATGCGTTGATGCGTGTGATACGTTCAACGATGCTGATGCGGAAATCACCTCGATGACCCTTTCATGATTACACGTACGCGAAATTAATTGGATATTTGTTTATCGCCGTTTTTATTTCTCTTTCTTTTTCCTCTCCCACCCTTCCTCTCTCTCTCTCTCTCTCTCTCTCTCTCTCTCTCTCTCTCTCTCTCCCCCCCTCTCTCTCTATCTATCTATCAATCTATCTTCTCTGTCTGTCTATCTCCTGTATTTAATAAGATATGTGAACATGTGGAGAGAGGTGACTGATGGAAAATTAGCGGAATACACGTAGAAAGATACAATCATGACTTTGTGAGAACGAAACAAGCAATAGGCAGCGACATTTTAACTTTATATAGTTACATACACACACACACACACACACATAATGTTGTTGAATGTGTAAGCAGAATTGGGAAAAATTAAATGACATGTTCATAACTTTTGATGGTTTTTTTACAGTATGTGCAAACAGATCCACCCAATAACAAGAGCTTAGCCACATTATTGGTGCAACTGCTTCAGTTCCAGGAGGATAATTTAGGAAAAAATGTGTCAAAACCACCTATGACCAGACTTCCTGTATGTAATATTGTCAGATTATTATAGTTGTGTTCATGGTTCAATTATTAATGAATTTTATTTCTAGATGAAATGTTTCTTGGATTTTAAGCCTGGTGGAGGATTGTGTCACATATTAGCAACTGCATATCGTTTTAAACATGAACAAGGATGGCGACGATTCGATTTTCCTGGTGGAAAAGTAATTATTTTCTTTTTTTTTCTGGAAGATATATATCCTTAAAAGATATTTCTTTTTAATATTCTTATTTCTATGTAAATGTTGTACAAATGTTGCAAATTTGTCTATAAATTAAGTAATTGCCATTGCAGTCTGGTTCACGTACAGATCGCACAGTGGATATGTTGATGGCAGCAGAACGTGCTTTAATACAGAATAGATGTATGAACATACCATCTATTTATGTCAGACTAGAAGTCGACAAAAATACAGCTATAAAAGTAAAAGAGGTAGTTAGAAGACATCAGGGAACCGTTGTGGAAAATGAAGCTGATGCTACGCACATTATCTATCCTCCGGTGGATCCGATGGAAGAAGAATATGCACGACCCTATATGAAACGTGAACGATCGATTTTACTTCATTGGTACTATTTTCCGGACAGTTACGATTCGTGGACGACGCTAGATTTACCTTGGGATTATCCTGAAGGAACTCTTATGAATACAAATTCAAGGTACTATATCTCTTTTGTAGTTTCATAATAATTTAATTAATCAGTCAATTAAAATTGTTGCCCAATTATTAATAAGATATACACCTTTATTTAAAAGCATATTTAATACTATATAAATGTGTTAACAGGTCTATCGATATATGTCATGTTCACCATAGATTTTGCAAATCATTTCAGATCCGTGTACAAAGTATCAGCTACGTGGGCATTAGATCTGGATCAATATAACGAGTGGATGAACGAGGAAGATTACGAGGTGGACGACAGTGGTCAAAAGAGAGTGCATAAATACAGGCTTTCCGTGGAAGATTTGATGGCGCAACCGTCCCATCCACCCCCCGCGAAGAAGCCCAAGAGGAAACGATCACCTAGTCCACCTCCAAAGCTCGGAAAGCGCAAAAGGTACAAGGACTTCGAATATTTCTGCTTTCGCTGATCCCGACTTAAATTTCTCGAATACGTCCACCTCACATCTAATTTTTTATGTCACCATTTAGTAGCAGAGCACCGTCAGGTATTCAAAGCGCTTCGTCTGCCTCCTCGGCAGCGGCTCCCAAGAAATCGCGTGGGGGCGAGGAAGAAGAAGATCTGACTCAGGGAATGGAGGATCCACCTGCTGAACCTCGTATCGTAGAGGTTGTCGCTACTCCAACGAATCCGCCAATTACAGGTCAAAGCAACGCGACGACAGGCAATTCTACTTTGGCGTCTGCGGGTAGTAAAAAGCAAGACAGTGAACTCCAGCCACTCAAATCGGGAAATATGGCTGATCTCGACGAGCCGATAGAAGGTAAGTTCGATATGTATGTTTTTATAGCGTTCAGATACAATATAATGAAATTAAAAAGCACCTGGCATCCAAATTAAATTTTCAATTTAATCTCAATATGATATACTCAATGGCAGTCGATTTTTCAGGTGATAAAGGGAACTCTCAAAGCGGCCAGGACAGGGAAGAAAGAGACACCAGTAAAGAAAGAGGCGAAGGTGGCAAGAGCGACGAACCTGAAGACAATGTGACGGAACAGACGCATCACATTGTCGTTCCCAGTTATTCCGCCTGGTTTGACTATAACTCGATTCACACCATCGAGAAGAGAGCTCTGTCGGAATTCTTCAACGGCAAAAATAAATCTAAAACTCCGGAGATTTACCTAGCATATAGGAATTTCATGATCGACACTTACCGGCTAAATCCAACAGAATACATCACGTCGACCGCTTGCAGGTAACATACATATCACCTTATTTATTATTAATTTATCGGCATATAGTTACGTGCATATAATTTTATTGTAGTTCGACGTTAAGCAGCTATACGTGTAACGGTCAAGGCTCAAAACCGGCTATTTGCGACTTGGCTGCACTTTGGGCTTTGGCTGTAATATGCAAAGAAAGAGAAAGATAACAGTTCTATTTTCTAGGCGGAATTTAGCCGGGGATGTATGTGCGATCATGCGCGTACATGCGTTCTTGGAGCAATGGGGTCTAATCAATTATCAAGTAGATGCAGAGTCCAGACCGACACCTATGGGGCCTCCTCCAACGTCGCATTTCCATGTTTTATCAGACACACCGTCCGGTTTGGCACCGGTGAATCCGAATCCTCCGAAAACGCCACAACCGTCCGCCGCGAAAACGTTGCTCGATTTGGAGAAGAAGCCAACCGGAGTAACTGCTGTTGGCACCGAGGAGAAGGTCTCGGCAGGCGCGATGGCGAACTTCGGTCTGAAGATCGACCAGTATTCGAGAAAACCGGCGGTGTTGAAGAACAAACAAGCGGCTGGCGCTACTCGCGACTGGACGGAGCAGGAAACGCTCTTGTTGTTAGAAGGATTGGAATTACATAAGGATGATTGGAACAAAGTATGCGAGCACGTTGGCTCAAGAACTCAGGACGAATGTATCTTGCACTTCTTACGTCTACCCATAGAGGATCCATATTTGGAGGAAGGCGGTCCCGAAGGATTAGGACCGTTGGCTTATCAGCCAGTACCATTTTCTAAAGCTGGAAATCCTGTTATGAGTACAGTTGCTTTTCTAGCATCGGTCGTAGATCCTAGAGTAGCTGCGAGCGCTGCGAAAGCTGCCATGGAAGAGTTTGCAGCGATAAAGGATCAAGTGCCAGCTGCGTTATTGGATCAACACTTGAGAAACGTTCAAGCGAGCGCGAATTCGGACGGTAATGGTCTCTTCCACTCGTCTATTCGTCTTTATCAAGATATTTCTTTAAAAAGATACACATTGTTGTTAATCAATATATTGATATTAATTATTTATGTTCATGCATTATTAGGTAAATTTGATCCAGCGGCGGGCTTAGCACAGTCAGGTATCGCTGGTACGGGACCACCCGAGCTACCAGACGATACGACGGCGTCTTCCACGACATCCTCTGTACCGGCGGGCGCGGTTAATTCACCGCATTCGACGGGGCCTCCTCCCGAAGTGAAGAAAGATGATCAAGACAAGTCGAAAGAAACATCGGACGTCGAACAGTCTCAAATGGATGTCTCGAAGAAGGAGGATGAGTCGAAGGAGAGTGAAGAAGACGCCAAATCCGTTACTGATCCCGAAGCTGCAGAAGCGAAGGAGAAGAAAGACAAGGTAAGAGCTGCAGCGCTGCAAATTGATTCGTACATCTTGGAGAAAACATCGAGATTTCCGAATAGAATCGGTACACGTCTTTGATTCTAATATTTGCGCTATTTGTAATTTTAATGTTAAACTTGATCTTCGACACACACACACACACAGGTTGTGAGGGACGCTCAGTTGCAATCCGCAGCAGCAGCTGCCTTAGCCGCTGCAGCCGTAAAGGCTAAGCATTTGGCAGCCGTGGAGGAGAGGAAAATCAAGTCGTTGGTCGCGTTGCTGGTCGAGACGCAGATGAAGAAGCTCGAGATCAAGTTACGCCACTTCGAAGAACTGGAGACGACGATGGAACGGGAGCGCGAAGGTTTGGAGTATCAACGGCAGCAGCTCATAACTGAAAGGCAACAATTTCATCTGGAACAACTGAAAGCGGCAGAGTTCAGGGCGCGCCAGCAGGCACATCAGCGGCTGGCTCAGGAGCAGCAGCAGCAACAACAGCAACAGCAACAACAGCAGAATCAACATCCTCCCTGGCAGCCGGCTGCGCAACAGCAGCAGCAGCAGCCGCCGAGTCCGCAGGCGCAGGCGCAACAACCACCGCCGCACACGCCGCCGCAGCAGACATAACTCTCTTGTGAGTTTTCTTTGAGTAATAAAAAAAAAAACAATTAGTCGATTGTGATAGTGCGTATGTATTTTTGCGTCACTGTGATTACAGAGAACGCGCACGAATCGCGTACGGCGTGCCTGCCGTGTACAAGTTTCTTCACTGCATTACTTACCGACCCTTTTTTATTTCTCTGTGGCTCTTAGATCGCAGTTACTCGAAGCTTAAGCCTCGGGACGTTTCCAATTGTATTTTGTATCGTACGTATGGAACATTCGGATAAGTCAAACGGGACTTTGTGTCTCGTTGCGAGCAGTCTCGGTATCTCGAGGTAGGAATAAATGTAATTCGCAAAGAAGAAGAAAGATAAAAAAGGAAAAAGATGACGTACAATTGATTTTTCTATTATACAAATATATATGAATTATATATGTGGGAGAGTAATTATTTTTCTTCATACTCGCATATACACGATGCGTATGTAATGCGGGAGAATTTGTGGATCAAATTTTGTATGCTGTACCATTGCTCTCGTCTCTCGCGCGATGATATGTATTATAAGAGTTATAAAAATAGCATATAAGAATATGCATACATGTATAATATATATACGTCATATACATGTATATATATTATTACTGAATAATGCGACATTTCTCTCTGATCTACAAAGCCTTGTTGTGTATCAATTCCAACACTAAGTCAGTCATGAGCCGAGCACACTCGGCGCCGGCCGGTGGCGGTGCTCCCGCGCTATGCTTCTCCTCGCTAGTCTCCGCACTCCCCTCGTACAAGTCCGGCGCTTCGTGGCTGGCGCATGTGCTGATCGGTAGTATGTCCAACGCCAATCCCACCCCGAATCGTCCGCATCTTCGCATTTCTTCGTTCAATCTACAAATCGGGTAGTTCATTCATCAGACCGCATCTCAGGGGTCTGTGTATTCGAAAGATTGGGAATTTTAGTCCTTTTTAAGTTCTCCGCAGTAATAATTCCCACCGACAAAGATATATCCTTGTGTTAAATAGTGCATCAATGTTTGCTCGACTTTCACATTGATTCCGTTGGAGAGGATAACAGAATTACTCTCATGTGATGATATATTATTACTACTTATCAATTACTAACCAAGATATCAATATTTATTAATTATTGCTATTGTGAATTATAAAATAAAATTAAAATGATGTCGCACACGTCTCTTGGTGGTGACGTACAATTACTAGTAATGAGAGTAATGGATTTATTCTCATCAACATTTCCGTCCTTCGAGTACAAGTTTGAAACGCGACGATTTGGGAGCTACAGTGTTGGACTCTCAACGTTGAAAAATTACTCGAGAGTAATTTCTCGATACATTGCTCACAAAAAAGTATAGGCAGCGTGAATCGACATGATCGATTATAACGATATTGTTACACGTAGACGACTGTATCTCGGTGTTTCACTTACAATTCCCACATGACAGATGGATCTTTCGGTGGCCGCTCCGGATTGAGGACGCGTAAGGAGGACATCAGATGGAAGTGATAATGCTGGAGAAGCTGTGTCATGTAAGCCCGCCTAACCACGCCACTCGTGCAGCAGTATAGCAAGTTCGCAAGATCAAGAGCGAGGGAACCAACCCGCGTCAGTTGAAAGTCGACTAAATAAACGGCCTGCAGAAACACAGTATTAAAGTCAAGTCGCGGGGTCTCTGTAGTAAGGTCGCAGCGGCGCACCTCGGATCCGTGTTAGCCGATATTACGAAGGTTTCTGCCGGAGGCATCGTTTTACGAATCATATCGTGTTCATGGAGGGAGAGAAACACGTCGGGTGTTGGTTGTTGCTATGTGCAACAAAAGTATCTTCTACCTATTTGCTTCCCTGCAATATACACGATTGTCTCGCGATATTACGTGTTACTGAATTTCAGAACGTTTTTACTGACAAATTGCATAGTATGAACAAAAGATTCCATTTGATCGAGACGTTAAATAGTGAGATACAGTTCTTTCAAACATGATTTCAAACATAGAAAAGGAATAGCAAATAGAGGCAGCTCGTGGTACAGATAAGCGACTGCTGTTTATTGTAACAATCAGCTCACAAGGACTCATAACGTGGCTCAACTCAAACATTAATCCAGACAATTCGTTAACGAGACTACATTGATTAGATACGCTGGACGATACTATGCAAATCAGTTTTTATTTTGTATGCTCATTATTTTTACAATTGACTCTCATTGGCTGTATTCAGTAAAAAAGAACTGCTTTGTAAGTGTTGCAAAATTCGAGAATCTGATTGGTGCGTACTCTTAGACGTAGTCAAATTGAAGAACGCCAATTGGATTCATGAATTTTACCACAGTTGTAAAGCAGCTTTTTCTGCTAAATGCAACCATTGAGAGCTAATTTGACAAGCGATCATTTGTCATTCCTAGCTACGTTTGGATTCGATTAAACAGTACTTATGCACAACTATGTACTGTACTTTGCATATATGTGCGTCAAAAGTTTCTTTTCTCTTTGATTCGCGCGCATCATCACTCTTGAATATTTATATTATTGGGCAAAAGCAGTTAAATGCCTAAGAGCTATCGGGCGGTATTTATTTTAGATGACCATAATTTGATGTGTATATATACATATATATATATGTATATATACATATACATATATATAATGTGTGTATGTGTGTATGTATATATATATATATATATATATATAGAAAAAGGAATTTCTTCACATCCGACTACACACGGACCCAGGGGGCAACTTCGACGAACTAAAAACCTTTCCAATGAGATCGCGGATGGAGAAACAACCTTTGAGAAAATCATAATATAAGAATCTTATAAATTTATATAATAAAAGTATATGGAGCAAATGTGAGGTATTTCGTCCTAATCGTTCCACAGTCGAAACAGTGAGGAAGATCGTGAAAATGCGAGATGTTTCATCGAGATGTACAAGCTACAAGCATGCGAGCCTTGACCGTGAATCATACATCGCGTCGAGCATGCAACTACTTGGGGCGGCTTCCCTTAGAAGATGAAAGCGCTCACACCTCTGTGTCCGAGTCCGGCTCATCCCGGAACAGAATATTATTGGTCCAACAGTCGCCGTGGCAGAACACAGAGAGAGGTCCCTGCGTGGAGACAAGCTCGCTCATTGTGCGGAAGAATACGTCCTCGTTCAGGAAGGCCTGCAACTTGGTCATTATCTCCTCTCTTTGGGAGTCCATGTGCGAGGGTAACGCATCGGATACCATTCGGATAGCGTTATTCGCGGCCACGCGATAATACTGTCGATACCAATCCTCGTTATCTCGTCGAAACAACACTTCTTGTATACCTTGATCATGTTCCGGATTCATTAATTTCGCGAACTCCTCCGGCCTTCAAAGAGTAATATCCTTTTGCATTAAAGGATCCGGAGACGAGGACGCGTAACGTGCGAAGTATGTTCGTTTTTTCGAAAGTGTACGACTTATAATTGTAAGATAATGAAAGAGAAAAAGAGAGGGAGAGAGAAAGAGTTATTTTTGTTGTATCATTACAATACTATCGATATTGCGACCAACATGTATTCGAGGCACCTGCTTCACCTTTCGAAGCGCCTGGATTACCGTCTCGCATTAACAATCCTGATCCTTCGAACCTTACAGTACAGTACTCTCTCAGCGGCTTCAACAGTCAGGCACACATTTACCTGGATTCTCTCAGCGTCAGGCTGAGCGCGTGAAAGCCCGCCAAAGCCTTCAGCACGAGCTTCAGGTTCTCCACCTCCAGTCCTTTCCGTCTGTCTGCCATCTTGAAGCCTCTCTGTCTCAGATCCTCCATGGCGATGAGGTCCGCTCTGGCGGCGTAGATCTTGGGCACACCGCCGAACACCCTCTCGCCACTTGATTGCAGCCTGTTAAGCGCGGGCCATACGTGCTTATAAAACGCGACCTCGTTCCGAAACAGCAACTCGCTCTTGAATGCCTCGCGACGCTTCTTCGACTCCGGCAGGATCTTGTAGATGATCGCACACTCGTACTTTATCCACCCTTCATCTGCCGTCGACCGTTTGCGCCCTTTCGTTCGTACCCGGTACAACATGGATGTGTAATTATCTCCTCTACCTGAACCCGGCTCCTCGTCCAAGCTGCTAATCTCCACATCGGGCTCGTCCTTGGTGATCAATTCACGCACGTCTTCGAGCGTCAGTCTGACCTTACCGTCGCCACCAACGTCCATCGTGCCGGACGACTGAACGGGTACCTGATATCTATATTACGAAGACTATGCTGACGCGCGAATGTCTTCTCGATTTTGCCAGCAAGGGCCGGCCGACATTCTATACTTTACGGTGGACCGGAGTGTTATGACGCAGGAAATGGGTATTTGAGCGGTACATAGGGCTGCTGCTGCTGCCGCCGCCGCCGCCGCCGCCACCACCGCCTCCCACCGCACGACTTAATTCATTAATGATTTGCGCCCCAACTCAAGAGACAAGGACATTGATGCGTGTCAATCATATGAGTCGTTTTAGATTCCCTCGCTCGATGAGAGCGAGCGTTTCTTCGAAGCGCGATGCGTTTCGCGACGCGATCTCGCTGCGTCGACGACGGAATAATCGCATGCTAAGAAGGCTTATTCTCTCGATCGATCGATGGAACTTCATTTTCCAGCATGTTACAGTCTCGCATGTACAATAAAATATACTAATGGTACACCTATGATATTATACGTACAAAAGTCCTGTCGTGTCGATTATAAACTTTCGAAGCGATGCTAATTACACGAACAAATAATACCGCTTCACATCTCAACAATTGCTGCGCTATTGCGATCGCTAGGAAATATTTGTAGTTCGCTCTACTTGGAGGGCTGCTCGTCGGAGAGCGGCAAGTTGATGATATCACCCACCAAGTTGACTAATATGTCCTCCTGCGTGGAGGTAAGAGCTACGTTTTGGTGGAACTTCTTGGCCATATCCCCGACTCCTTCCAGACCGGAGGACACCATGTACTTGATGATGACCTGGAAGTAAGGCACAATGTGATGTTATCGTCAATCAGTTGGATCGACCGGCAGCCGATGCGACGAATGTTTACTCACAAAGACCGCCGGTGTATGTGCTTGAGCTAAGCACAGCTCGAATATTTCATTTATACGCTCCATTTCGATGACGCCTTTCATCAGATGCGGTAATTTGGTCAGCGACAAGATAACGTCTATCATTTTGTCCATGTTGTCACCGCGTGCAAGCAGCACCGCGATATCGCCCATCACCGTGCTGGGCATCATGAGGTGTTGCATCCTCTTGGCATTTTGAGACTGCGTCACAAATCATTATTTCAGCAATGTGATAACATTGATATTAGATGACAGTGACACTATGAAAAAAAAACATTAGAGTCAAATTGACGATATACGATCGGTCGGAAAATTCTGTTCGATTTTCTATCTTCTTCAACCGGTCATCTTCTATGATAGGAACATACGAATATTGGCGAAGGAACTTGAACAATGTCGACTATTTTGTTAACGAATGTTCTGTTGCCATCAAATGCAATAGAGCCAAGTCTTGCCCCAAAATCGAATCGAATTTTCTGATTGACCCAATACATTGATACAGAAAATGCAAGGTGTCTGGATATGTATCGTTTGGAAAACTCATACGGATAAAAGATGTGCCTGTGGGACATCCTGTAGAGCGAAATGAAATGACAACTTAATTACTTGTATGTGATCCCAGATGGTGAGCGCGACCTCCGCGAACTGCGTGTTCAATGGCGAATCGGGCGTGGGTTTGCAATGTACGCTGATCAAGTGCAATATACGCTCTAATAAGCCTTCCCTATCCAGATAACCGAACATGATCATGTGGGACCAGATTTTCGGTATATATTGTGTGACGGTCTCCGCAGGAAGCAGCTGCAGAGTTTCCAATATAGCTTGCATCACGGACGGTTCCGCTATGGCTACATGCGGAACGAACTTGTTGTAGATCTTAAAGAACACCTCGAAATCCTCCGTTGCTAAGATCAGCTCCAAGTACGCGCGGTAATAGCTGTTTTCCTGAAGCGAGAGAAAGGGACTGAATAATGATACAGTTGTATATGCTCATAAAATATCTGACATAACGCGTACAATTAAGTAATTAAACAGAGATCTATAAGATAAGACAAATGCGGAATCCAAAAAACATCAGTCAGTGTCTGTTGACAGATGTAGGTCTCATAGTACACACTCACCTTGTAATTGTCACCGATAAATTTATAATTGTCCCCGGTGAGTAGCAGCTCGTTCACCGCTTCACCTGCCTCACGACTGCAAAATTGCTGGAATGCCATTTCCATCGCAGTCACGAAGAAAAACATGTCCTTTGCATCTTGGATAGTGAGAGTCTCCCTCTTCAAGGATTTCAAGATCTCCATGAAGCTGCTGTACGCCGAGTCGTCTGTGTTAACGGAGAAATCCGTAAGCGCACAATCGCGATAATATGCGAAATGTCGTCATCGCGAGATAATAAAAAATAAAATATGTATGATGTGCAATTACCGAATTTATATAAAATACATAATACATAAAAATACGTGGTCAACGACGGTTTTAGATGGCATTGTTTGATATCGGCGAGTATGGTGCGTGCAAATTCAATGGCTGCTTTTTTGGATTGCAAATTGACCGCTGTGTTGAGAGCAGCGTTGAACGTGTGAATATTCGGAGCGACTCCGTTCGCGGCCATCGTTCGGAATATATCCATAGTCAACGTTTTCGGCTTCTCGTTTCCTTCGCTCATCAACGGCACTATCGATATCATAGAGTTATATCCTCTGACAGATAATGGTATTTTCTTTTGTTGACATTCATTGTACAAGTGCCAAGACTTATCCACCTAGAAAGATAAAGTTATACATTAGATTAAAATTAGATCTTCCTTAGTGATATATTGTACATGTACAATCTAGTTCAATGTAACTGCTCTTGTCATTATTTAGGATGTAAGATATCTTACACTGTGGCATTTCGCTAACCCGCATAACAACGCATCGTACGCGGCAGCGGCTACCACTGGTTCTTCCTGTATGAGAGAGTTAAACAATATGTCGATCTGTGGTCGATTTCTGCAAAAATAGAATTAAATTGCAAATTTATATTAAAGACATATAATGTTTATTAGAAATATAGCAGATAGAACTGATCTCTCAGTACTTACATCCAAATATTCTTTTTATGATTTCTTGTGAGCTGAAACCAGCGAGTCTCAAGAAAATCAGAATTAATGGGCTCGCTGTTATTGTAAAAGCACAACAACTCCAAAAGGGCTTGCTTTGTAGGCACAGTTATGTTACCTTTTAGCAAATCGTATATTGTGATAGAATCGGGAACATTGCCATTTGATATTTCGTATAATAACGTTTCTTCTGTAACTGTACTATTTTCTGTATAAATTGGAGATGGCACAAATGGCTGTATATGAATATAAAATACTTCAATATAAAAACCTAACAATTTAATAACGTAAGTAAAAGTGGATTATCAATTCCAACTGATTAACAAATGTAAATATATCAATGGAAAAAATTCTACATATATCACCTTGATTTCAGGCTCCGCCACCTTGTGTTGGAACAAATCGGAATGTTCTTGTCGAATCCATATCGCAGCTTTTCTTCCAGATTCACGTGCTAATGCATAAGAGCGATTCTGAACTTTTGATAATGGTGTAAGAAATGGGTCATCATGATACTTGTAATGTGGTGCCGTATAATCCCTAGATATTGTGCTTTCAAGAGCCTATAAGGCAGCATCAAATGAATATTGTCATAGAAATAAAAAATTTATATTTCTGCACATTTCACTACTTACTATTATTTTACTATTATTATACTTACTATTATTATATACAACAATAAATAAAATATATTATCATTCTATTTTTACCTTTAAGATATCTGTTGGCCCACGTTCTATCCTGTTTGGAATATGAATTTCTGAAGATGAGGACGTTGTGGCCGCTGTCGATTGTAATCGTATCAATTCTTGACATAGTCTTCTGCAAATAGTACAATGCTGTGTTTAAGAAAAACTTAAACAGGTAAATGAAAATGAAATCAATTGCATCTTGGATATGTAATTAAAATCACTGTTTTCAACTCTGAAATAGTTTCATGTTTGATAAATCAAGTATCAAGTTATCGATATGAGCATAATAGTTATACACAAAAGTCATAATAGTTATACACAAAAGTCAATTAATTTATTTATAAAGTAATTGATTTATGTATATAAGCTGAATAAATTAAAATTCACTACATACCTACGCGAAATTCTAGTTAAAGAATACATCGTATAAATTTTGGAAGTAAAGTGAATCTATTTTTTTTAATTTATTCCCTTCGGTTAACCTCAAAGTAACGCATTTTAAAGTTAGAACAAGGTTTACTTAGGTTTGGCTAGTGTCGAACCATAGACATAGGAATATAGAGACAGAGCATAAGCCCGTAAGATAGGCGAGGGGAGTTGTGCTGAAATGCGGGGGGCGACTGTGCCTAAGTTTCATTGGCTACAATAGTGCACATATTCAGAGCGTGTGATGCAACGACTTGACTGTCACTGCCAAATAGTAAATGTAACAAAATGATAAGAACTATTTACACTGACAGTATTTTGCAGAGATTATGCATGTCTTTTTTTTCATAATTTCACTCACACACAACTTCATACACATTTATGTATATATCAAATACTTACACACGGCACAACCACCAATTAGATTTAGGCATAGTTTACCTCGTCGCATCGTCCCGCAATGGTTATCCCCCTCGCAACTCTATGCTCTGTCCCTATATTCCTGATTATCAGATAGCACATTTTAGGCCTATTCCGAAATTGACAGACCGAAACTTTAGTTTTAGTTATAAAGTTGGTAGGTCTTAAACTAACTTAGATACGAACTATAGATAATTTAATCAGTTGATCAATTATCAAGATAATAATCATCTGTGATTCCACCTATCTATTATTACAAAATTAAAGCTAAAACTAAGTTTATAAACAGAAATAGTACATGACTGTGAACGTCCAAGCTGCTGTGATCTGCTGCTTAAGTACGAAATATTTAATATTTGATTTTACCAACTGTGACTAATTTAACCTACTGGTTATTCCATATCCAGAAATTGATCAATCGCATTTGTCAATACTGATTAACGACAGATACAATTGGCCAATTCCGTTGAAATAAACAGTTTAAGTTAACCAAAGGTTAAAAAGAGCACAAGTTAGTTTAAAGCCTACCAACCTTATAACTGAAACTAAAATTTCCGAAACCGACTTTTCGAACAGACTCTAGTCAAGCTGTTCGTTGTTAGATGGCGCCAGATGGACTGTTTCAATTGCAATTATACAAATCCTTTCGAAGCAATGGCGACCTGAGACAATGCATGGGATATTTTTGCTTCGAAACTTAAACCGTATACGAGATATGGAAGGGAAGTAATGAGATTTAAAATCGTTCATTTTAATTATGTGTTTAATTCACAGTTCGAAACAAATAACTATACAATAGTTCTTACAGAAGTATTGCATTTGTACCGAGTTGCTCATTCTTCCATATGTACTCTTTATACTGTTTATCACAATTGTTACATAATTATCAGTTTCCATACAATTGTTCTTGATCTGATATTTCAGCTTCGAGAGTAACAAGAAGAAAATCACTCAAAACAATGCAACGAACTTTTCGGAGAGAGAAATTCATGATCTGCGGAACGTCTGCCGAGCACGCAGGCGCATTGTCGCGAAGCAGGATCCGTTTTTTGATTCAACATGAAACCCTTTCAAACGTTCTGGAATGAATGAGGTAGTTTCTTCTTTCAAGATATAGCTTCTTCTTCGCTATATTCTACTATAGTCCATTCTTTATTATATATATATATATATATATATATATATATATATGTCACTGTTGCATCTAAATTATAAACAACTAAGAATTCTTTGTATACACGCGATACACACACACATATTTTATCTTAATTCTTCTCCTCTACGAGCATCTTCTTCCGTGGTGGCTCCTTAGATCGGGTTTGCTCGGGTGGGGTGGCTTCTTTATTAAATATATAAACCATACGTTCTTTAGGTTGCAGAATGTGACTGACAAAATTTGAATCATGACAATTCTGCATGATGTTTTGTCTATGTAATTTTTGATCATCCATCAGGTTATACATGCTAATAATAGTCGCATAATCTAATATCCTAGTAAGATCATTTGCAACGAAATGGTCCACATTTTTACGATGAATTTGGAATAGATAATTTTCCATTTTCACTGTTAGATATCACCGTAGACAGATGTGCCTTCGGACGATGATTGATCTCCTCACCGATGATCGATGAGCGCTGGCCGAGCTTGTTCAGCACATTTATTGGATCTTGAGGAAGCATCGTATAAAAGACGAAAAATCTGGGTACGAGATAAAAAACAATTAATACTGAATATTTTGAATCTCTTCTTTTGTAGGTTTCGGTGAAATTCTTCTGAATATTACATCAGACTTAATAGATATCTCTCTTCTGTGCGTAGTGCATCATGCCTTGCTTCTAAATGGTTGTCTAAGCACATTTGTCAAATTCACTACTGTTCGTTGTATAGTTCGTTGTATAGTTTCCGGAATGAGCGAAACTCCGTATTTCGCAAAGACATCTGAAATGTTCTTTCCGGGAATTCTTCCAAACTAACATATTTGAAAATCTGTAGACACGTGTCAGAATATAACATATATATTATTAAGCCTCTTTTGAATAATCAATACTAAATAGCTTATGCACGCTATTATTATAAACTCCTTATATATGAAGTCTTTATATAATAAATCCTTCATATAATAAGATTTCTCTCTTATTATAAACTCACAGATCAGTTGTTGAATATAGTTTAAACATTGTTTTAAATATATTTTATATATATATATATTAAATATATTTTAAGATGCATCAAATGTTCATTAAGCAAATCTACGATTTTCAAGCACAAATTTCTTTTAACGTTTTCGTCGATATTTCACGTGGATATGAGTGGGTGACCAGGACGAGGCAAGTCTTCGACGGCTGTACGACTCTCTTGGAACAATTTATACCACTCATACAATTTTTCGGGTCTGCCCGGAAATTGAGTTCGTGATCTTCGGCTTTGTAGGCTAAGTGCGTTGTCTCTTATGCTCGCTCTCCTTTGGCACAGGAAATTTCGTTGGAAATATAGAATTTAAGGCAAATTTACTATTTGCTCCACAATATTCGACATCGTAAAAATCGTAAATGGTACCTGAAGTACTCAACTGACATAAATCGCTTCCACGAACAAATTAATCGATTCTAGATCGATTAATAGATCGCATTCTGATTCTGTATGGAAGTTAAATACAACTTAAGCAGAAAAGGATTTTGAAATATCATAAACGCGCGTCATTTAAATGAATAATTCCGGGTACTTTTTGAGCAGAAGATAATATTTATTACGCTCGCTCTCGAAATACAATAATACGGTAATTCGGTTCTACTCTTAAACGAAACGCTCGATTTAACAACTTCTACAATACACTCAGCTATCGGCCTCAAGTCTCTCTCTCTCTCTCTCTCTCTCTCTCTCTTTCTTTCTCAACGTAGAGGTAGTCTCTCTCTCAACCCTCTCTCTCCCCTGAGAGCTCTTTATATCTCTCCTTCCCTGGCGCTTATGCTTGTGTCGATCCCTATCCTTCTAGAGTGGCTCAAGAGGTGAAGTCACCTGCCGTTCGATTCTTACATTACTATTATTATTATTAATTATCAAAAGACAAATTCCCCCATTAGATGTCAAGCGCATTGTTCCAAAGTACGTTGAAGGGAACGCGTATCTACATACATTTACAACCAAGACGCTACCTATTACACTATATACACTATCGGCCTTTTTTTTTAGTTGAATTGGCGGACACGCTGGGACTTTGTTCTTTTTTTAATGCTAGATTATATACTTGTCTCATTTGCCAAACGCAAAAAGTGCAATCCACTTCAGCCTAAAACAAACAGATCCATTGCTGACACTGCTGACGAATTCTACGTTGACTCTTATTGAACCACCTATATTGGCTACTATTCAATTCATCTTTTACTTTAATGTTGTAGAATTTCCTATGACCCACATACTGGAACACACTTCGGAACCAGCGAATGTGCGTCATTGCCAAGCGCATTGTTCCTTCCGGCGGCAGCTGGCACCACCACCACCATCACCACCACCACCACCACCACCACCACCAGCACCACCACCATCACCATTACCACCATCACCATCACCGCCATCGCCATCGCCACCAGGCGCAGAGAGTACATCTTGCACCCTTCTTCATTAAATAGCTCAAGGTATCATCCTCTCCTTGGTCTTTAACCGGACGACGTCTCGACCAGCTGCTCTGCTTTCTCGCGAGAGGAAGAGAAAGAGAGAGACAGAGAGAGAAGAGAGCGCCAGATAGAGATTCGTTTCTTTCAACGATTTTATTGTTTAGCATATGAATGGCGCGCGCGAACGCGTTCACGATTGCACGGTGAACCCTTTGGCGCGCGCGCGCGCGCATACATCATACACACACACATATACGCTCATATATATATATATATATATATATATATATTACAAAGAATTCAATAAAGTTTATAAGGAAGCCCGGAGGGAACCAGTCTCCGCCAGGTCAGACGAGAGCACGAGGGAAGAAGAGAAGAAGAGAAAGAGAAAGAGAGAACCCCGGGTTTTCTTCTCTTCTGTGCTCTCGCAATTCTCGCCGTGAGAACGCATATGCCATGTGTATGTGTGCGTGTACCTCACGCTGGACGTACATCGATTCGTGGCAAAAGTATCAACGAGAGAAGTTAGTACTTTTCATAGAAAAAGGAGAAAAGTTCAATATACTATTGATAAACTTAATTTCCGCGCCGCTCACGATAGATGATTTAAGCTGCAAAAGCCTTGGCAGCTGAAGTTGATTATTTTAAACGTCTATCAATAAAATTCAATGCGCAAAGGTTAATCTTTCTGAAGGAAGAAATATTTTTAATTGATTTAAAATGAATCGTGATAAGTTTTTTCGACATGAACTTCTTCACTATTTTGACCTGAAGAAAGCCGCAGCTCAAGCGCATTGATTTCTGAAACCTACGATGAACAAGCTCCATCAGAAAGAACATATAGAGAGTGATTTAAACGATTCGGACATGGTGATTTCAATACGGAAGGCAAAGAACGTTCCGGACAGCCGAAAAAGTTTGAAAACGCCGAACTGCAAGCATCATTGGGCGAAAATCCAACTCAAACACTTGAAGAATTGTCAAAAGCGTTAAATATTATTCCAATGGCTATTTTTAAGCGTTCACGCGCCGTGAGAAAAATCCAAAAGGAAGGAAAATGGCTGCGACGTGAGTTATCCGGAAATGCCATCTTAAATC